AACATTCTGAAGGATCAAAACCAGATTCAGACTCAGATATGACACAGACATGGGAACTATCTGACAGAAAATTTTAAGTATGATATATTGGTTAAGGGCACTGATGGGAAAAGTACACAACAAGGTTGCTGAATATAACATACAATAACAGGTGAGTGGCATAAGCAGAGAGAGAAATGCTTGATCAAAAGAAAATGCTAGAAAGCAAATATTGTGACAAAAATTGGAGAATGCCCTAGATGGGTACATTAGTGGACAGGACATAATCAAGGATAAATCATTGAGCCTGAACATAGGTCCATAAAAGACTTCCCAAAATGAAATGTAAAGAGAAAAAAGACTGAAAAGCAAACAAACAAAAAACAGAGCACCCCAGAATAATGGGTGAAATTAAAAGGCCAAAGGAACAAAAAGAAGAGCATAAGAAATATTTTAAATAATAATGACCCAGGACTTTCCAAAATTAATGCATAGTATAGTCAATACACTATTGAAGGATTTATACTAACTGGATTCAAGACTTATTATAATGTTAGACAAGTCAAGAACAAAAAGGAAAAAATTAACAGATCAATGGGACAGAATAAACATCTCAGAAATAGGCCCACACAAATACAGTCAACTGATCTTTGATAAAAGAACAAAGACAACTTAATAGTGAAAGGGCAGTCTTGCAATAAATGGTGTGAGAACACATTGTAGGACATCCATTCACAAATTAAGTGAACCTAGCCACAGATTTGATACTTTTGACAAAAAATCAACTCAACGTGGATCACTGACCTTAAGTATAAACTGCAAAACCTTGCAACTTCTAGGAAAAAAAATAGAAAAATAATACATGCCCTTGAGTTTGGGGATGAATTTTAAATACAACACCAAAACACAACCCATGAAAGGAGAATTGGTTAAGCTGAACTTCATAGAAACTTAAAACTTTTGCTTTGCAAAAGACACCATTAAAAGGCACAAACAGAAAAAAAAATTTGCAAAACAACTAATCTGGTAAGAACCTGTATCCAAAATATACTAAAAATTCTTAATACTCAACAATTAAAAAACAGCAAAAATGGGCAAAAGATCTAAAACAGACACCTTACCAAAGAAGACAGACATGGTAATTAACCATATCACAAGATACTCCACATCATTTTTCATCAGCAAACTGCAAATTAAACTAAACAACTAAAACACTAAAATAAAAAACACTTCTTTTAATGGCTAAAGTCTAAAAATCTGACATCAAATGTTGACAAGGATGTGGAGTAATTTGAGTAAGAAACTCATTCACTCGTGGTAAAAATGCAAAATGGTACAGCAACTTTGGAAGAGAGTTTAGCAGTTTCTTGTAAAGCTAAATACAGTTTTAGTGTATGATCCAATAATTTTGGTCCTAGGTATTTACTGAACTGATTTGAAAACTTATGTCCACAAAAAAAGTTTATAGCAACTTTATTCATAATTGGCCCAAATTAGAAGCAACCAAGAGGTCCTTCAATAAATGCATGAATAAACACACTGTGGTACATACATACGATAGAATATTTTCAGTAATAAGAAGAAATGAGCTCTATAGATAGAAAGACATGGATGAACCTTAAATGCACATTACTAAATGAAAGAGGTCAGTATGAAAAGGCTATATACTCTATGATTTCAATTATATAACATTCTGGAAAAGGCAAACATTACCTCAGCCAAGTGATCAAGGGCAATATCAGCAGTGATAAACCACACTGTTAGTATGTTTCCATGATATCCTAGATATATTATGTACCCTAAAATGACATTTTACCTCTGTGACTTTTTCAAAAACATATTACCCAGTCTAATCATGAAAAAATTATCAGATACACCCCAACTGAGAGACATTCTACAAAATACCTGATCAGTATTCCTCAAAAATGTCAAGGTCATCAAAAACAAGGAAAGTCTGAGACTGTCATAGCCAAGAGAAGCCTAAGGAGACATGACAACTAAATGTAATGTGGTGTCCTGGAAGGGATCCTGGAACAGAAAAAGGACATTAGGGAAAAACTAAGGAGATCTTAATAAAGTATGGACTTTAGTTAATAATAATGTATCAATAGTGGTTCCTAATTGTAACAAATGCATCATACTAATATAAGATGTGAAAACGGGAAAATTGGTCTACAATTAAAATACTGTACAAAGGAACTAGAATAGTCAAAATAAATTTGAGAAAGAACAAAGTTAGAACACCTACACAATCTAGTTTGAAGACTCAAAAAATCAAAATAATCACGCGTGTTGTCCTGGCATCAAGATACATAAGTAAATTAATGGAACAAAATAATCAAGAAATAGGCCCACATATACATGGAGAACAGATTTTCTACAAAGGTGCAAAACAATTTAGCATAGAGAGGATAGTTTTCAACAAATGGTGCTGGAACAACTGGATATCCAGATGCAAAAATAAGTGAACTTTGATCTATGCCTTGTACAATATACAAAAATTAACTTGAAAAGGATGAGAGATTAAAGTGTAAGAACTAACACTATAAAACTACTAGGAGAAAACCTGGGAGAAAAATCAGGGACTTCAGGATTGACAAGGACTTAAAAGAACACAAAAGCCACATATAAATTTTTTAAAAATCAAAACATTTCACTTAATCAAAATTGAAAACATTTGCTCTTTAAAAGCCACTGTAAGAAAATAAATAAGAAGACTGGCAGAAAGTATTTGCAAAATATACAACTGATGAATGACTTATATCCAGAATATAAAAAGAACTTTTACAACTAAATAATATAAACAACTCACCAAAAAGTGTGCAAAAGATTTGAACAGACATGTCACTAAGGGAGTTACATATATGGCACATAAGCACATGAATAGATGCTCAAATCTTAGTCATTAGGAAAGGTAAATTAAAACCATAATATATACCTATTAGAATGGCTTAAATTAGAAAGATACCAGGTGTCGGTGTGGATATGTAACATTGGAAAACTCACATACTGCTGTTGTGAATGTAAAATAAAATAGTACAATCACTTTGGGCAAGAGTTTAATGATTTCTTCAAAAGTTAAACATATATCAATCGTAAGACTCAACCACTCTACCCCTAGGTATTTATCCAAGAGAAACAAGAGCTATACATCTATACAAAGACTCATAAAAGAATGTTCATAACAGCTTTAACTGTTATGGTCCCAAACTAGAAACAACTGAAACTTTGCAACAAAATAATCAAGAACTTTGTAGTACATTTATAAATTGGAACACTATAAAGCAATAAAAATGAATGAATTTATTATATATGACATAATGGATTAATTTCAAAATAACTATGCTGAGTGAAATTGACCAATAAAAAATACATACACTGTATAATTTTATTTATATAACATTTTAGAAAATCCAAGCAAAACTCACTAACAGAACATATCTGTGGTTGCCTGGAGATTGGTAGGGTACGGAAGAGGTTACAGAGGGCTTTGGAGGACTTTTAGGAGTGATGACTAAGCCACTATCTTGACGGTGATGATAGTTTCTTAAGTACCTACATATGTCAAAACTTATCAACTGAACACTTTATGTGCAGTTTACTCTATGTATGTCACTACACTTAAATAAAACTGTTAAGCAAAAAAAGTCCATAAAAAAACCAAAAATATATGTTAGAGTATTTTAAACTACTAAAAATGTTTCAAAGAACTTCTAATGACATGGGAAATTGTTATGGTATAGAATTAAGTGAAACTGGCTCTCTATATAATTTAATAAAGGGTGATGTCAATTACATAGAAAGCTTACATACACACAGAAATATTTCTGGTTAGAAGTATCTACTGGGTTGTCGGAAAAGTCATAATGTATTTTTTTTCTTTCTATGTTTTTCAAAGAAAATATACATCATGTTGACTTTTTGAACAACCCAATATATTAATAATAGTTTTCCTTGGGTTATGAATAGTGAATGATTTAAATTTTCTTTACTTTTTTCTATTTTCCAACATTTTCTTATTTTTTATTTATTTCTTTATTTTTTTTTTGTGGGACCCTCGCCGGTGGCCGTGGAACGAACCAGCACTGCAGAGGCTGCAGGCAGCCTCACAGCCCAGTGCTCAACCGCTGTACCACCAGGGGAGGCCCCGTTTTCTTATTTTTATTTTACCTGGTAAACAGGAAACTAAAAAATAAATGAAAGGAAAGCATTTGAGTGATCATCTGGCCTGACAAGAGATTCAAATATATGTACTGTAGACACTTGGAAAATTAAAGAGGGAACTCTAGGAACTCGTATGTGAACCACATAACTGTATTTCATTCTCACCATGAACTACTATTTTTTCAAATGTTCATAGATGAAATGGAACCAAACCTTACTGAGTCTGTAGAGTCTATTTCTCATGTCAACAGACAGTAAAAGTGACACCATTAACATGGAGAACTTCAAAAACTTATTTCTCTATACTTATTGCCCTTCGCTTTAAATGGTATTTGTTCTGCTACCATACCAGTATGTATGGTATGGAACGGCTAATCACAGTACTTGACATTCAATTAATAGAAGCTACATTACATATTCCTGTTTCTCTGCTAGGACTTTTCATAGTATATATTCTAAGTCACTCTATTCTATTTTCCTCAGCTTTATTAAACCTCTGCTTTATTCTTTCTTATACCATTCAGATCGCAGAACAGAATGTAAATTAAATAACCAAATAACAATGTCAAATATGTTCTATACCTAGAAGAGTTTAGTAAAAACTATTTCAATTAAATATTGAGGATTTCTGCAAATGTAAGATTAAGATTACTAGAAGTTTGAATCCCACTTATGTGTGGCATTAACAGTCTATGACTGATCTTGAGGAAATCATGTTTGCTAAAGTTCCTACAACTGCTTCATAATAATCCACTCAGAAATTAAAATTAATAACTTAGTTATCATTATAAAATATACTACAAAAAGCAGAGCTATTAGTTATAGTTAACTATTAGCTGTAAGGTAATTTAGTTTACCTCAAAGAATTATTCTCTGCTTTTTGTCTGCCAAGTTCACTTTCGGTATCCATTGCCTTTCTTGCTAGTGCTTTCATTTCTTTTTCCACAGTGGATATGGTTTCCTTCATCAAAGTCATATTTGACATTTGCTCCATACGTTCATCATCAAGCTATGTAAGTAGAATGACAAGGTTACTGCTATCACTCAAAAAGTGTTAGTTATTTTCTTAAAGAGACATACTCCCTTTGTACAAACTGTGATATATGACCAGATTTATACAATGAAATAATCAGACTAGGCTTGAATTCTGGGAAATTGTATAAACAAGGAATTGTGAAGTAAGAATAAGAACAATCCACTGCACAGCCTTCCTATAAAGCCTATCACATTAACATTATCTGTACATTTTCAATCTCATTCAATTAGACCACAGCATATATCCTATTTGAAAGGATTACTTCTGTGTTGTCCAACATTAACAAATTACACATAAAAAGTAGGTTTATGAAGACAAAATTGTTTTCGTCCTGTATACTGTTTCTTTTTTACTCATTATAACAACATAGTACAGATGAATTTATAAATATATTCCATTAAATTTGGTAACAGAAAGTTAAATACCCCTAATGCTGTTAATATGGTCATAACATCTCAAATACAGATTCATAACATCTCAAATCCTTGATTAGTAAAAATGTGATGCTTCACATTAAAATAGCTTAAATGTATTTTTCTCATTAATTTTTATTTCTTCATAATTTTTTCTATCTTAGCTACTCTTTCAGTAGACAAGTCATTTTCTGTGTATCTGGAAATGTCATTAAGTCATTTCTTTGTATCTGGAAATGTTTTCTTCAGTGAAATTGGGACATGAATAAGTTGTAAAATTCCTGAGAATGCATTCCTACTGTTTTTTTTAAAAGAACACACTCTACAACCTAATAAAAAAGAGCCTTTACTCATATTTTCAGGAAGAAATAATGAAAAAGTGACAACTGATAAATAACAATTATACATACCACCTTAAATATTTTAAGATTACAAACATGATCTTAGAAAAATAAAAGAATTCCTCTGAACACAGAAAAATGGGAAAGGGGAAGCCATTGACAATTTATAGCCAAAAGCACAAAATTATTTTTCTTTACATTATGAACTGTACACTCCAGCTCCTCTATTCTTTGTTCCAAGTGAGCCTTCTCATTGAATGCTGTTTCTTGAGCAATCTGTTTAAAAAAAACAAAGTACATTCAATGTCATAGTTTTTGGGTTTCACATATATGTTCATTCACATATATGTTCATAGAGAAAAAATTATTTCGAACCTTTAGCCTCTCCCTCAGACTATCTCGTTCAGTGGTCATTCTTCGTAAATCAGTGAAGGCTACATCTCTCTCAGTCTCTACCCGTCGTAGGATAGCATGTGCTGTCGTCGATTTGGGAGACTTACAGCTTTTCATCATTTCTCTTCGGAGTCGGGCAATTTCTTCCTGTGCCTATTATAGAATATATAGTTTCCCATTTAGCAAGTTTTAGAACAGACATAAATATAGCTACATGTATACACCAGTTAAAAAGCAAATATATTAACCTGCATGCAGTTAGATAATAACATAATTTTTTAAATGAGTTTATACAAATAAATGCAAATGATGCTCCACAAATGTAAAAGAAGATATTACAAATTTGGTTTGGTTCACAATGTCTTTGCTAAATTTAAAAAAAAAAAAAAAAGATTAATTTGGAAGCAATCATTGCCAAAGAAAATGTTTTACTAAGAAATATATAGTTGGCCCTCTGTCATAGGTTCTGTATCAGTCAACCAACTGCAGATAGAAAATACAACTGTAAAAAAAAAAAAAAGAAAATACAACTGTGTGGTTAGGTTGTATCTGTAATGAATAGATGAATAGGTACAGACTTTTTCCCTGTTATTCCCTATATATCACCATATATTAAAAATTTATGTAACATTTCCTCACAGTATTTAGTATCATAAATAATCTAGAGATGATTTAAACTATACAGGAAGATATGCACAGGTTATATGCAAAAACTATACCATTTTATATAATAATTATACTAGGGAGGTGGGAGAGAGTATCTGGAACCAAACTCCCAGAGATACCCATGAATGACTGTATGGTATACATCATTCATTTTGTAATATAAATTTGAATTCAGCACAACTCAGGTAGAATACTGGTTTAGTAAGTATTACAGTGTGCCAGTCTTTATGTAAATTTATGTGTCATTTCCATGTTTTGGCTACTTCTAACATGACAGAAAGACCCATCAATCCTTGCTGACAACCCAGCATACTCTCTACATACTTGTTTAACCACCCTTGGATTCCAAATTTACTCTACACCTGCAGATGATTTCATATCCTACTTTGCTGCTTAAGTTTTCTTTTCTTCCTGTGAATTTTGATCGTTATCTGCTCAGGCAGCTTTCAAGTCTTAAAGGAAGATATATTACTTCCCAGCTTCCATAGGAAAGACTTCACCAACTTCCTGGACCTCCTTAGCCTGAAATATCTTCAAAGATACCCCTGACTTAATTATAATTATTTCCTCTCCCCTTGAATAGCACCCTGTCCATTGGCCTACTCTTCTGCCTTTAACCTTATAGAGGGTTCCCATATCTTAATCCTATTTACCATTTTACGTCTCTTTTTCCTTTGACATAGTTTTCTTCTTATAAGTTCCATGGTTTATACCAATTGTCAGTAATTTCCTACCACTTACTCTCTAACCCCAGTGTTATTCTCCAACCTGGCTCCACACCCACCATCCTGCAGAATTCAAGTGACCTCACACCCAAATCTAACAGAATTTTCTCAGTTCCTGTTTTTGTTATTTCCATTATATCTGACATTACTTTCAACACCCTCTTTGTTTTTGTTTATTTTTTTCATTGTAAGAAAACTGATTTTATTACCTGGGCTAGTGAGGAATAATTTTTTGAAAGTGCATTAAGAATTCTTATAAAAAATTTTTTTTAATTTTTATTTTTTACATCATTGTTCATTTTTAAACAATATTTGCTTCCCCCCATCCCCTCAGGTGTAGTCCCCATAGAATTTCCTTCACCAATGCACCTGTGCACCATCATCACAGTACCCTGTACTCCTCCCTCCCTTCCTCTGATCCCTCTCTCCCTCCTCCTCCCTTGCAGTATATCTCTGATTCATAATTGTCTGTTTTTGCTTTGTTGTGTTTTGTACTGTTATTATTTTTTACACTGATGTCTTAGTTGGTTCCCCTATATTCCTGCTATAGGTGAAACCATACGATATTTTCCTTTTTCCTTCTGTCTTATTTCACTGAGCATAATTCCTCTAGCTCCATCCACGTTGCTGCGAATGGCATGAGTTTATCTTTTTTGATTGCTGAATAATATTCTATTGTGTATATATGCCACATCTTCTTGATCCAGTCATCTATTTTGGGGCATTTGGGTTGTTTCCAGGTTTCACCTACTGTAAATAGTGCTGCAATAAACATAGGTGTACAGGTGTTCTTTTGAATCAATGTTTTTGTGTCCTTTGGGTAGATCCCTAGGAGTGGAGTTGCTGGGTCATATGGTAGCTCCATTTTTAGTAGGTTGAGGAACCTCCAGACAGCTTTCTGTAGTGGTTGGACCAGTTTGCATTCCCACCAGCAATGTAGGAGAGTTCCTTTTTCACCCCATCCTCGCCAACATTTGTTGTTGCTAGTTTTTTTGATATGTGACAATCTTACTGGTCAACACCCTCTTTGTTAAGAACCCATTTTCCCTTGAACTTATGTCACTGTTCTTTGTTTCCTGCCTTTGTTATCTCTCTCGAAGGCTTCTCTAACAACTGAATGAAACTTCCCAGAGCTATATCTTGACTTCTCCTTTCCTCTAGTTATATGTAGCTTTCTTATTCAGAAAACTCATGCAGTCTGAATGCTCAAAACCTACCTCTAAGCAAATGACTTCTATATTTATATATTCAGTTCTTACCTCTTTCCCCATCAGAGTCCTGCATTTCTTATTGCCCAATGGCAATTACTATCTGAATGTACTACCATCATCTTACCCCATCTGTGTGAAACCAAACACATCTTTTCCCTCGAACCATCAATGACTTTCTTAATTCTTTTTTCTATTACCACAAGTTTTAAACCATTCAAAACAGAGCTTCAGTTATTTTCATTTGTATCTCCTTTTTGCTAAAATCAAATCTTGTCCAAGTCTTCCTTTACAGTGTCTTTTGTATCTGTCCCTGTTTTTATTTCTGCTGGTAGCACCCTAGTTTAGTCCCTTTATGCCTCATGCTTGGACTGCTATAATAGACTTCTAAAGAGTCCATAGTTTCTCCTTCCTCTAGTTCTCTGGAAGAAAAAATTGTTATATAGGAAGAAAACAAAGAAAAATTATAATATAATTTTGAAATATGATGTAATATAAATAATATATATTATATATAAATATGTAGTATAAAAGTTACCAGGTTAAAATTATAAAACTGTTACTTTAGTCATATTTCTTCTGCCTTAAAAAAATAGATTACCCATTGCTGGGCCTCCCTGGTGGCCCAAGGGGTTAAGACTCAGCACTGTGAAGCTATCGGTAGCCCCTGCAGCATGAGTTTGATCCCAGCCAGGGAGATAACCTACATGCGGCAGCAGACCTCCCCTGTCTCACCCAGTACTCCCCTCAGCAGTGTATTTCAGTCAATCTGCTTGTTCTGCTCCCCACCCTATCTCTGGTGAATCCTCTCAACCCCCCACCCCGCACCACTGACCTGTACCCCAATTCTTGTATGCATAAATAAATCCTTAAAAAAAATTTTGAAAAATAGATTATCCATTGCTTAGTATGCAAAGTATAAAGTCCATTCAATGGCCTCTATCATTTAGTCCAGAAGTTGGCAAACTATATACAGATCACAGGCCAAATTTAGTTCACCCCATATTTCTGTAGATATATAAGTTGACATTTTTATAGTTTTTTAAATGGTAAAAAAAAAAAATTTATTGCATAACAGGTAAAAATAATAAATTCAAAGTTTAGTGTATATTGATAAAATTTTATTGTAACATAGTTAAACTATTTTGCTTGGGCATTGTCTATGATTACTTTTGCACTAAAACAACACAGTTGTATAGCTTGCTAGGAATCATGTGGGTTGCAAAGTACAAGGTATTTATTACCTGGGCCTCTACAGAAAAAGTTTGCAGACTCCTGCTGCAGTCCAAAATACATTTCAAGGGCCTCCCTGGTGGCGCAAAGGGTTAAGATGCAACCTATGAAGCTGTCCACAGCCCCTGCAGCACAAGTTCGATCCCCCAGCTGGCCAGAGAGCAACCCACATGGCTCAGCAGACCTCTCCTGACTCTCTCGCTGCTCCCCTCAGCAGTGTACTTCAGTCATTCTGCCTGTTCTGTTCCCCCACCCTCTCTGGTGTGAATCTTCTCACCCACTCCATACCTCTGGCCTGTACCCCAGCACTTGTATGCATAAATAAATAAATCTTTGGAAAAAAAAAACAACAAAATACATTTCAAGCCTGTTATTCTTTACTCCACAAATACACACCTTCTATTCTAATCTTAAACTGGTTTATTTACCTACTGATTTTTCTGCCTTTTCCTTATACTATTCCTTTAGTCTATAATGTCCCTTCTTACCTTTTCAAGATAAGAGAAACCTCAACTCATCCTTCAGAACTCAAACTAAATCATATAGCAAATATTCCTCCATATCACCATAACTAAAAATGTTCACTTCTTTTATTTCTTACAATATCTTTAGACTTTTACTTTCTAAAATAAAGCAAATTATATGGCAGTTCCTAAATTGACTAATAGTTCATCAAAGTGATGTTAGTATTTTTTAACCTCAAATCCAAATCTTTTTATTTTGAACTCATTATACCCTATCATTTAACACCATCCTTATTTCTTACTACAAAACATTTGACTGTATCTATGATCTATTTTGGATATGGGGATAACGTGTGTGTGTACAGACATGCATCCACTTAGTGAACTGGAAATTCATTACATTTTACTCAGAGTATCTTAAAAGCAAACGTAATTCCCAAATGTTAGATTAATTTGATTAGCAAATCTAAGTGTTCTTATAGAGCTTAAAAATTACCTATCTCTAGAATTGATGTCTTACTTACATATTTGTTTATAAACAAGATTACCTGTTCATAAAGAAGAAAGGTCTTGTCTCTCTCAGATGTAAGGACTTTGACATTACCCTGAATTTCAGCCAAATGACGCTCATATTTTTCCAGCATGCACTTAAGTTCTTCACGATCCCTTGTTGTCTTCAAAAGCTCTACATCACAGTTTGTACCCTACAGTGATTATAAAAGAAATTTAAATTCTTCTTTGACATGTGGTATTAATGAAAAGGTTCTACTGAGAACAGAACAAACATTTTTTATTGTTCATAAAAAAAGCATGAAAGTCAAAACATATTTTGTAGTCTGACCAAATAATAAGTATTCCTTAACATTTACTTATGAGAAATGTACTTACAGATCTAAGTCTTTTTATTGTATCTTCCAATACTATTATTCTATTCCAGCAAACAGGAAACGATGAAAAATGATTTAAAAACTGCCTCTCTTTTAAATAGGTTCATCCCAAGTTGCCCCACATTTGTCTAATCACTTCCTAAACACTACTAATGCTGGAGAAACAATTTTGATCGTCTACTTGTCATCAGAAAAGCTTTGTCTTCCAACCTCTTTGACATAGCAATTCATACAAAATCAAAATGAATATTATCCAGATTTGGAAAAACAAACAGAAGTCAATGTTTGGGCAACAAATTCCAAAATACTTCTATGATTGCAAAACATACCCGAGAAGATGGAGATGGCCGTCTTGGACTTTTAGATCTACTTCTTATCATCTTTCTCAAATTCTGAGCTTCACTCTTATAGTAGTCTCTGTCTGATTCCAAAGTCTTGACAAAGGAATCAAGTCTGGAAGGAGATTTATTTTGTGCTTTTTCAGTCTCTAAAATTATCTTATCAAGGAGGAAAAAATTAGGCCATTATTTCAAGCTAACCTATAGCATTAATTTCTACATTAAAGTTGAAAAAAAACATGCTCCTTAAAAATAATAAATTTTATTTTAAAAACAATTCATCGGGCCTCCCTGGTGGCGCAAGGGGTTAAGCACCGCACTATGAAGCAATCCACAGCCTCTGCAGCACAAGTTCGATCCCTGGCTGGCCAGGGAGAAACCCACATGGAGCAGCAGACCTCTCCTGTCTCACCTGCTGCTCCCCTCAGCAGGTGTACTTTGGTCAATTTGCCTGCTCCGTTCCCCACTCCGTCTCTGGTGTATCTTCTCACCCCCCACACCTCTGGCCTGTACCCTTGCTTTTGTATGCATAAATAAATAAATCTTTAAAAAAATATATAAACAATTCATCAACATATTTTGTTTTTAATTAATTTATTTATTTATACAAGCACTGGGTATAGTCAGAAGCACAGGAGGGTGAGAGAATTCACCAGAGCCAGAGCAGGGAAAAGAACAGGCAGACTGACGAAGTACACTGCTGAGGGGAGCAGCGGGCGAGGCAGGAGAGGTCTGCGCGCAATGTGGGACCCTCGCCAGTGGCCAGGGATCGAACTGGCACTGCAGAGGCTACGGGCAGCTTCACAGCCCAGTACTCAACCGCTGCGCCATCAGGGAGGCCCTCATCAACCACTTTTTAAAAAGCGGCTAGATACCTTTCTTTGCCAGCATTTCTGAATGTACTATATTTTTATAATGAAAGTGCCCCTAAATTTCTCAATAATGTCAAAGAAAAAAATAGTAAAGAAATTTCAGTGAGGCCAGAAATGTTCACAGACCTAGAAAAAGAATTAATTTGCTTGGGAAAGCTTGTATCCACTATTAAAGCATTTCTTCATAATGTTTAATTTTTGTCCAATAATTATTCAATGAATGAATAAATTAAATGAATGCTGGCTATCTCAAACTTGTAATCACTTTCAAGTACAATCCCATTCACCTTAATATATTTAAAAACATTTCATTTACAACATTTGTGTTACCAATATTTTATTGGGAGAAAATTAAATATACCTTCAGACAGGGTGTTTCAAATATTTTATATAATAACACTAAAATATCTAAGTAGAACAGTTTTTCATTTTACTTTGTTATATATAGGAAATATATTACTCAAAATCAATGGCAAAATATAACTGACAAGAATGGGAATTAATATGTAGATAAATGCATGCTATATTTTGAGAATTAAATTATTCACATTCATCATTTTAAATCAAGTAATAGCTAAAGGTATTAATTAAAAAACCACCCAGAAGTTCTCTTCACACCTCTACAAAAGGAGTAGTGATAAAAAGGAACAAGAAAAGCATCCCTCTTATAGCTGGGATTGCCACTGCACTAAATCGCTGATTTTAGAAAACAAACATTTTTTATTGTTCATAAAAAAAGCATGAAAGTCAAAACATATTTTGTAGTCTGACCAAATAATAAGTATTCCTTAACATTTATTTATGAGAAATGTACTTACAGATCTAAGTCTTTTTATTGTATCTTCCAATACTATTATATTATTTTGCTGGCAAATGAGTTCAATCTAAAAAACAATCAGAAAAAAGTTAAAAGTGTTTAAACTGATTTAACTATATAGAAAGGGCAGCAAAAAAATAAGCCATTAAAAAATAAAAAGATGCAGACTGAATATTTTACTAAAGAAAGGACAACCTACTTTAAACATTAAATGGGTAAAGATGGCCATAAGAAATTAAATATAAAAATGCTGACAAAAATTTTATCTACTGAGAAATTATTTTACAGAATTTATACCCACATATTCTCAATACAGATGGCACAGAGCCAACAGCACACAGACTGGAGATGGGTGATGTGTTAGTACAGCAAAGTGGAACTATGGGAGGGACCATTTTCTTCATTATACTCTTCCAAATACCCAAATGCTTATACTAAACACGTACTACTTCTACAAAGATAAAAAACATAACACTGATTCCATTCTGAAAAATGAAGTTGCACATGACCCAAATGAAAATATGCCTACTCAGTGTATTGATTTATTTGACATTTAATGAGAAGGTTCCTGCTATGTGCCTGACACCGTTATATGCTAGGTATAATTTTCTGGAGTTTTTGTTCTACTTTTTTTCTGGCCTGTTTGATTTGATTAATTTGCCATAGCCACTGCCACATTACTATTATTATGAGAGCTTTAAGATATTTTAAGATTTTTTTTTTAAGGATTTATTTATTTATGCAAGAACTGGGGTACAGGCCAGATGCTTGGGAGGGTGAGAGGATTCATCAGAAACAGAGCGGGGAACAGAACAGTTCCCCGCTGAGGAATAAACTGCTGAGGGGAGCAGCGGGCAAGACAGGAGAGGTATGCTGCGCCATGTAGGACCCTCCACAGATGGCCAGGATTGAACTGGTGCTGCAGAGGCTGTGGACAGCTTCACAACACAGCATTCAATCACCTGCGCCACCAGGGGAGGCCCTATTTTAAGATATTTTAATAAACATTTTATTTCTTGATTGTGTTTAGTACTATGCCATGGAATTTAGAAACTAAAATTTTAAACACAATTACAGAGTGAACGATTTAATTTCTTATTACTTCCTAAAAATTTATGAGCAAGACAGCATATTTGAAGGTCAAAAAACAATTTATTGAATTTTTAAATGATAGCATGTGAATGTATTTATTTATCTTGATTTTATTAATCACCAACTTAGTAAATTGTTTTGAAGTAGGTACCAAGAACTAATTGTTGTTACATGTTATTTCTTTTTTTTGAATTAATATTGGTTTATATCGTTTTTATAATGCAAGTGTAGGATCCCCCTAATGTACTGTTGGTATAATAAAGAATATTATATGCTATGGCAAATGAATCAATGAAATCAAATAGGCCAGAAACTTATCCATATATATGTGAAAAGTTAAAATGTTAAAATGATACTTCAAATCAGTGAGCAAAAAATGAATATCTGCCTCAAAGTAGAACAAAAATAAACTCTAGAAAATTATTTTAAAATATTTTTTTAAATGGTAGAAAATATATTTTTTTAGTTCTTAAGAAGGCTTTTCTTAAACAAGAATCAATATTAGAAGGAGCACAGAGAATTTCTGGTGCAACAAAAATACTTTGATACTACAATGGTAGATGTCATGATTCATTTGAATCCTAATGTAAACTATAGACTCTATAGGATGATGATGTGCCACTGCAGGTTCATCAATTAATTTTAACAAACATACCACTAGTAGGGGACGTTGATAATGGGGAGGCTATACATGTGTGAGGGCAGGAGAGGATTATGGGAAATATCTGTATCTTCTGTTTAATTTTGCTGTGAGCCTAAAACTGCTCTAAAAAATAAAGTCTATTCAGAAATAAAAAATATATATATGGAAGGACCTCCAAAAGAATCAAAACTTGGAAGTTAGTAAAAATTAACAAATTTTACTACATAGAAATTAAAATCTTTAAAGTGTGAAATAAGTTGTGTGTGAAAACAAACTGGAAAAAGGATAAAAATACATGAATCTATTTGTTGTTGGATAAATTAGGAAGGGAAGCATTCTATATACAGAACATTCCTGTTCTTTGAAATTTTTACCAAGATTCCATATTACTTAAGAAATTTGATGAGGAAAATTTTTTAAAATAAATAAAATGTGAGATAAAATATTATTTAATCCCAAGAGCAAACATTCAAATGTCAAATTTAAAAAGCTCTCAAATAATATAAGAATATCACTTTTTCTATTCTACTTATTACATGATCTTTTAAGTTAGAATTAAAATCCTGATTAATGGTAAATCTGGTACCTTTGCTTCTTCAAGTTCCTTGTCGGCAGTATCCACCACAAAATTTTTCTCTTTTTCTAGTTGCTCTGCTAGTTGGTCAACTTTAATCAATTCTTTACAAAGATGCTCATTGTGGCTGGTTAAATCATCTACTTGACTGCTTACCACCTCCTTACTATCCAAGAGTTTCCTAACATATTCTTCCAAGCCATGATTTGTCTGTTTGAGATCTTCAATCTGTTATAATCAGAAAGAAAATAGTTGAGTTAAAATACATGTTTATAGCAGCACTATTTACAATAGCTAAGATATGGAAACAACCCAAATGCCCAAAAATAGATGATTGGATCAAGAAGATGTGGTACATATACACCATGGAATATTACTCAGCATTCAAAAAAAGATAAACTCATGCAATTTGCAGCAACATGGATGAAGCTAGAAGGGATCATGCTCAGCAAAATAAGTCAGAAAGAAAAAGAAAAATACCGGATGGTCTCACTCATAGCAGGAATTTAGAAAACCTAAATAAGAGACCAGGAAAAAGACTAATCAATACAAAGTAATAATCAAAATCAACAAGCAACTATAAACTGGAGACACACTGGGGGTGGGGGGGGAGGAAGAACTAGAGTCAAAAAAGGGGGGGGGTGCAATTGTATGGGGAATATAACCAAAATGAAAATGCATACATTGTGCAAAGACGAAAAATGATGTAAGAATTATATAAAATAAAATATATATTAAAAAAATATTTCCTTCAAGGAGAACAATTAGGTGACTGGAATCAGGAAGAATGATTTATTTCCCTAGCAATGAGACTTAAACTATATATCTGTTTTTACTTTCTGAATTTGTTATTATGTGAATTACCTATGTAAAAAATATATTAAATGATAATTTAAAGGTTTACAGCTATACTTTTAAAGATAATTTATAATTTTTTTAAATAATTTAATATTTTAAAAAAGGAATTACTATTGATTTTTAGACAAACTATTAGAAAAAGGGTCAAACTGTATATCTGCAGAAAAGAAACCATGGTCTTGGAATTTTTTAATTTTAATAATATCAATTAAGTGCTCTTTAAAATTAAATTTCTAATTATCAAAATATGTTATCTTCAGGGCCTCCTTGGTGGCCCTGAAATCAAAATATGTTAACTATCAAAATATGTTGGGCCTCCCCTAGTGGGGCAGTGGATGAGCGCTGGGCTGCAAAGCTGCCCGCAGCCTCTGCAGCAGCGGTTCAATCCCCAGCCACCAGCGAGGGTCCCACATGGTGCGCAGACCTCTCCTGCTGCACCCGCTGCTCCCCTCAGCAGTGTATTTCATCAGTCTTTCTGTTTTGTTCTCCGCTGTGGCTCTGGTGAATTCTCTCACCCTCCCGCGCTTCTGACTGTACACAGTGCTTGTATGTATGTATGTATAAATAAATAAATAAATCTTAAAAAAAATAAATAAAACAAAATATGTTAACTTCAGGGCCTCCCTGGTGGTGCAAGGGGTTAAGCAAAGCACTGTGAAGCTGTCCGCAGCCTTTGCAGCACAAGTTCGATCCCTGGCCAGGTTGCTGCCCACATGGTGCAGCAGACCTCTCCTATCTCGCCCGCTGCTTCCCTCAGCAGTGTATTTCAGTCGATCTGCCGGTTCTGTGCCCCCTTCTGTCTCTGGTAAGTCCTCTCACCCCCTGCACCTCCGGCCTGTACCCCAGTTCTTGTATGCATAAATAAATAAATCTTTTAAAAAAACAACAAAATATGTTAACTTCAGAAAAGTCCTTTTGAATATATCAATAACTTACTTGACTAAGCTAAATACCAAATCAATCAAGTATTTGCTGACTAATATGGAGGACCACAGCTTTCCTTCCCAGCCCACTATCAAACCATCAACGGATGAAGAAAAGGGCCTTTTCTATCACGCAGGTATTCAAATGCCTTTAAAGGAAAAAAAAAATATTAGACCCACTGAACAAGTTATATGTCAGGAACTATGTTAAACTCCAAAAATACAAAGATAGGTTAGGTAATTGCTCTCAGAGAATTTGTTTAATTAAGAAAATAAAATACTATATGTTAAGTGCCATAACAGAAATATCTATAAGATAAATTGCTGTCATAAAGGTCCTATCCTATATTTGTCTGTAATTAGTGTATTTAATAGCTCTTTCAAAAGCATCAAAATCAGTAATTTTCTTTAAAAATATAAACTTTATAATTTACCACTACATAAGGAAATATCCTAGTGAGTTATATTTAACTAAATATGCTATAACGCCATTTATTATACTTGATATACACTAAGGGGCATGATCAAAACCATCATATTAATCTAATCCTTCCCTTTGGTATTTTGTAAGGCACCCTAATTTGTGAAATTTAGACATAAAGCATTTGAATTATCATATCCAGAAAACAAGAAAAAAAACTAAAGAATTTTTAAAAAGTGAAACTAAATGCATTTTTCCTTAGTTTCTTTTAACACAACAGGCCTGAATTTCAGCAACACCTCCCACTCTCTCCTCTTTTGATCTTCTCCCATATCTGCTAAAGATTATTTGTAAATGTGAATTTGATATAGCCTTATGGGTATACATCTTTTATGATCTTCATCACACCAAGCACAGGGAGAAAAAATACCATTTGTGATACCTGCCTACTGATCTGTCCAACTTAACTTTCCACCACCCCCAATATATACCTAAAGCTCCAGACTGTAAGAAACTCTCTCATTTAACTCATCTTAAAACCTATACAGGTTTCTCCCACTATTCAAATGTAGAATGCTCCTATTTAGGATAATTGGTAGGTTACTTAGAGGTCTGGGAATGCTCAAAAATTTTTTCTACATAAATTACTAGTTATACTTTTGTCAGACTCCCCAAACAACATATCAACTCATACCAAATAGAAATGTTTTACTTTCAGATAGTGAGGTGAAACAGAAGTATTAGCAAAGTTACATGTTACAGAATCTACTCTGAGTTTCCTCAAGGAAAACTATGCTCAGTTCACAATTTCAGGAAAATATATACTTCTTTGGGATATTTAGTTTGTTCTTATGCTGTGGATGGTGAATTATTTAACTAAAATTTCCTTTTTGCCTTTCCCGCCAGGAATTTTAAATCCCATCTGCAGCCCACCTCCACCAACTAGTACAAAAACCATGTGCAATGATCTCCTTTTGTCGGCTATTCTCATTCCAGGCTTTCACTATATTTTCCTACTCTTATTATCTAAGCTACTTTCACTAGTTTTCTTAAAAACTATTGGATGCAAAATAAATAACCAGGTAAGTTTCAATTTATCTATCTGTATGGTTCTCATAGCTTTATCTTTTTGTCTTTGTTCATGGCTTCTACAGTCCCACATTTCTTAGCAACTAAAAATACTCGTTAACCTTTCACTGCACAGGAAGAGGTTCTAGGGCCCCACGAAACTTCTTAGACAGTTTTATCTTAGTATTTTATAAGATGTATTGTATTCACTTGTTTATTTATCTGTTCTTTCCACCAAATTCTAAGCAACTTACGTGATCATATCTCTAATTTCTTTATCAACATACCTCTCATTTCTGTATCACTTACACATGTGCAAAAAATACTGAGTGAATTAATAAAACAAGTAAATTATAAATAAACACTCCCCTGACCGCTGATATCAAGCCCTGCTTTTACTCAATTCCAAGACACAAGTACTTTAGAAGAGGCAATTTAAACTATCAATAGTAGAAAGGATGTGGCTTCAGACTTAGGCTGAGAAGTTTAAATCCTGTTGCAGTTCTTTACTAGTTACTTAACCTTAAGCAATTATCCATAGCTTCTTGCTCCTAAGAGATGCATCTGACTTCAGGGGAAAAAAAAAATGAAAACCTCCTGAGTCTCATCTATTAAATGGAAAGGATATCTACAATTTGCAGGGTTGCAGTTACAGAGATTCAAAAAAAAAGTCAGGTAAAAATTCTGATAGATAATAGGTAGTCAAAGTTTTACTTTGAAACTTTTTATTTTTAAATAACTAAAGATTAAAAGAAGCTGCAAACATATGACAGAGATCATGTGTGCCCTTAAACCAGTTTCCCCCAAGGGCTACATCTTAATTACAGCACAGTATTAATCTCAGAGATTTGGCATGGGTATCATGTGTGCATTGTTCCAGTCCATTTTATCACATGTGATATCACATGTGTAGTAACTATATCAGTAAGATACAAAACTATTCCATCACCACAAACATCACTCTCCTGGTACCCCTTTATCATCACACCCTCTCCTTCCCCATCCTTAACTCTTTAATTTTGTCATTTCAAGAGTGTTGTACAAAATCATATAGTATATAACCTTTTACATTGACTTTTTTTCACTCAGTACAATGCACTTGAGATCTGTGCAAGTTGTAATGTGGATCAATGGTTCATTCCTTTTTATTACTGAGTAATATTCACAGTATGGATTACCGCAGTTTAATCAATCAAAGAAGGGAAATTTTAGTTGTCCAAAGTATTGCAGCATGACAATAATTGTGTATAGGTTTTTGAATGAACATATATTTTCATTTCTCAAGATTGAACGTAATGGAAAACAATGGCTTTAATTGTGTGGGAAATGTATGTTTAGTTTTATAAGAACTATTTTCCAGAGTGACTATACCATTTCCCCATTCCCACCAGAAATGTTTAAGTGACCAATCTCTCCTTATCCTGGTCAACATTTGGTATTGTCACTCTTTTTTGTTTTAGCTGTTTCTAGGTATATATCACAATTTCATTTTGGTCTTAATTTGTATTTCTGTGATGTTTAGAAAGGGTGAACATTTTTGTATATGTTTATTTGTCAACATATATCCTGTGAAATATTCAGATTTTCAGCTCATTTTGTAATTGGATTGCTTCCTTATTACTATAGAGTTTCGAGTTCTTCATGTGTTCTAGGTTTGATTTCTCAGGCACAAATGTGGTTTGTAGTACATCTTTCACCTGATTAACAGGATTTTTTGCACAGTAAAAGACTTAAATTTTGAAGTTCAAATTATCAATTTTTTCTTTTATGAATCATGCATTTGAAGTCCTATCTAACAACTCTTCAACAAGCCCAAAGCCCTAGAGATTTTCTCCTATAAGTGTCATAGTGTTATGTTAAATCTAAGATCCATTTTGAATTAATTTCTTTATAAATTTAGGTCTACGCTCATTTTCTTCCCTAAAGATATCCAACTGCTCCAGCACCATATTTTGAAAAGACTATCTTGCCTCCACTGAACTGCATTTACACCTCTGCAAAAATCATTTGGCTCCACTTGTGACATGTAAAAGGCTATTTCTTGAGTATGGATTTCTGTGTTATTGACCTAAGTGTCTCTTTCTTTAGTAATACCACATCTTGATCATGATAGCTAAATATTAAATTTAAATCAAGAATGACTCCTTCCAATTTATTTTTTCTCAACATTGTATGTGTTGGAATTTTGATGGGAACTGCATTAAATCTGTTTATCAATTTGGAGAGAACTGACATCTTTACTATGTCAAAGCTTCCAATTCAATTTAGATCTTTGATTTCTTTGATTAGCATTTTATAATTTTCAGAAAAGAAGTTCACACTTATTTTGTTAGATTTACATGTAAGGATTTCATTATTAAGTGGCTATAAATTGTACTACATTTTGAATTTTGATTTCTACAAGTTAACTTGTAGAACTCACATATACAATTAACTGTGGAAAAGACATACACGATAAATATGTTTTATATTCTGACCTCTCTGAACTCATTTATTAGTTCATTTTTGTAAATAGGTTTTATGAAATGTTTGAGGTAAAAGATCATGCCATCTGCAAACAGGTTTACTTCATCATTCAATGTCCATATACTTTCAACTTTTCAATCTAACTGTAACACTATATCTGAAACAAATTTCTTGTAGACAGCAGATAGCTAGGTCATGCTTTTTAAAATCTACTCCAGTTTGTCTATCAATAGGTGTGTTTAGATATGTATATTTAACCCAAATGCTTTTATGTTAAGATTCAAGTGTAATATGTTTTGTTTTCTGTTTTGTTTTCATGGCCTTCCTCTGAGTTACTTGAACACTTTTTTGCATTCCAATATTGACTGGAATATTGATTTATCTATAGCATTTTTTAGTATATCTGTACAGCTTTTTAGTAACTGCTCTAAATGTTACATCATGTATCCATAACTTATTACACTCTACATTTTACCAGTTTAAGTGATATAGAAACTTTAACACTCTTTAGGTCCCTTTACCCTTTTCTATTAATGAAATACTTGTCTTAAATCTTTCCACTACATGCACTGAGAACTACATTAAACAAACATAATTAATATTTTTAAAAGGGAAATTCTATTGCATTTTTCCATATTTGAGTTGTTTTGCTTTTTGTTATTCAATTATAGGAGTTCCTTATATATTCCGATTATTAATTAATCCCCTATCAGATAAATGATTTGGAAATGTTTTCTTCCATGCATGTTTTAATAGGCTTTTTTTCAGGCTGTTTTTGGTTTACAGAAAAACTGACTAGGAAGTACAGAGTTCCCATATGCATATACATTTTGTATTAATGTGGTACATTTGTTACAATTTGATGAACCAATAATAGTACATTATTATTAACTAAAAGTCCAATGTTTGCATTAGAGCTCATTCTTTGGCATAGAGATTCTAAGGGATTTGACACACAGCCGTCTTTATGGCATCATACAGAACAGTTTCACTGCCCCCCAAATCACTTGTGTTCTACATATTCATCCCTCCTTCCAATTCTCTGTCAAATAGTAACCTTTTTAATGTCCTATTTTATTTTTTGTAGATCATACAGTTGCAATAATAAAGTATATAACCTTTTCAGATTGGCTTTTTTAACCTAGCAATATGCTTTCAAAGTTCCTTCATACATTTTGTGGCTCAATAGTTCATTACTTTTTCTGAGTAAATTATATTTCACTGTAGGGACATACTAGTCTGTTTATCCATTCACTTATTGAAGAACATTTTTATGATGGCTCATTTAAAATGCTTGTTAGATAATTATAACATCTGCTTCATGCAGTGTTGGTGTCTCCTGATTATCTTTTTCATTCAAGTTGAGAGCTTCCTGATTAATGGGATGAGGAATACTTTCATGAAACCTGTTATTCTAGGACTCTGGTTTCATGTTTAGGTAGGCTTCCTGATACACTACTTCAGGCAGAAAAGGGGATTTTGCTTTGTTACCAATAAGTGGGGATGGAAATCAATTCCTAGGTCTCTTTGACACCTAGGGAGGGTGGGGTTCCTTATTACTGCTATGCAGGGTTGGGAGTTCAGGCTCCCCACCAGGCCTTGGCTTTTACCAACACAGCTCAGAGGAAGAGGGGTCCCATCAGTCCCCCAGTGGCCATGTTACTGCTTGGGGGATGGTAAAAGTCCTAACTTGCAATAAGTCTCCCTTGCTATCACACCATGATTTCAGCTGAGACTTTGGAGTTGGGGACCTCCTTACCACTTGGTAGGAATGAAAGTCTTGATTCCCTACTCAGTCTTCTTTAATATGGTGGGTTAGGGGTCAATAGAGGGGTATTAAGGTGTTGTTGGGGCTCCATGTTACAGCCTATTGAAGGTGAAAATCTAGGCAAGAACAAGGAGGTAGTTTTTCCTGTGGTGTTTGTTCAGGGTGGGCAATTATTGTCTAAAAGTAGTCTAACTTGCTAGGTTTCCCGAGTCTAGTCCTTTGGCTTGAGAGGTTTTTTTCCTATACTTTTTTTGATTTCTATTCATTGTTATTTCCAGTTGCCAATTTTTTCAGCTGTCTGGGATACATGGAACAAAAAGAAAATCCAGGAATTCGCTAACATGCCATTCCTATGTCTGGAGGTCCCTAGGAAGTCTTCCTATTTCTTCCCATCTTGCACAGTATCTTATGTTTTTCTATAAATAATGTTTAAAGTTTTTAGCCATATTTAGTGGGAAGAATAAGAAAAAGTAAAATCTGCACCATTTTCCTAGAAGAGGAAGTTTCTTTTAATAACCTTTATTAATAGTTATACCACAAGTTAGGCAACAGAAGATCAGAAACAATACTGAACTTGGAGTTCAGAGAACTGGGTTCATATGTTAGCTAATTTAGCAATTCAGAGAAATGCTATTTGTTACTCAGTAACCAAATATCATAATTCTTTAATCTCTTCAAACTTCAACTTCTAAGTCTTAAAATAGAAATAACATCACTATTTCACAAGGTTGTATTATGTATCTAAAAGAACCTAATACAACACTTGGTACATAGTTTGCACTCAATGACTCTGAATCTCTGTGTATCAAAATAGTCAAGATAAAATGGAATGATTCTCCACCCATAATATTTAATATATATATTAGCACTGAATTAGTATGTATTCTCCATCTTCCTGTTTTAAAATAGAACCTATCGGGGTCTCCGTGGTGGTGCAAGGGGTTAAGATGTAGCACTATGAAGCTATACAACATGAGTTCGATCCCCAGCCAGAGAAGTGACCCACATGGCACAGCAGACCTCTCCTGCCTCCCCTGCTGCTCCCCTCAGCCGCACTTCAGTAGATCTGCCTGTTCTGCTCCCCACTCAGTCTCTGGTGAATCCTCTCACTCCCCTGCATTTCTGGCCTGCACCCCAGCTCTTGTATGCATAAATAAATAAATCCTTAAAAAAAAAGACACTATCACAAATTAATTCAGAGAAATACATATATAAACAAAATGTAACCTGTAATTTCAGTGTAAAGATGAACTTTTCTTGATTTCTCACTTCTTGTTCTAGCTGGAGAGTATTCTGGTATTTTTCAGCTTCAGAAACTGGAGCCCCTAGACCAAAATCATGTTCTTTGGTGGTAACCTAGTGAAAAAAAATGTAATAATAGAGGGATATTCATTTTAAAACAGCTTTGTGATTTCTTGCATCAACCAATAATTTTGAAAATGCAACATTCTTAGATATATTTCAATTGTTTTAAACCTTGTTATTTCCTACTCACTAAGAGGGTTTCACCAAGCTTTACTTTCTTAAAATTTTGTTATAAAACCTTTCCTAAATGTCTACAATGTTGAACATGCCTTCCAAGGAAGATACACCCCATCTTATCCCTTCTGCAAACCACTGTCCTACAGAAAAATGGGTCAACAGTAAATTAAGTAGTCTACCTGTAGGCCTCTGTTGTCCAATATATTAATTACTAGCTATTTTTGCCTTTGTATATTAGCAAAAAGGTTTACTACCCATATCACAAAGCACTAACTTCTCTAACATGAATAATTCCTATAAATAAAAAAGTTGACGAACAGTATGGTTATATCACAGAAATGACTTTGATCATTCAAATGAGACTGAAAGATAGTCAAGCTCACTCTTTAAAAGGACACAACATAAAACAAAACCAAGATACCATTTTTAACCACTACTTGGCAAAGATCAAAAAAGTAAAATATAGGGCTTCCCCGGTGGTGCAGTGGTTGAGCACTGGGTTGCGAAGCTGCCTGCAGCCTCTGCAGCCCCAGTTTGATCCCCGGCTGCTCCCTGGCCACCGGAGGAGGGTCCCACATGGCATGCAGACCTCTCCTGCCACCCGCTGCTCCCCTCAGCAGTGTACTTCGGTCCTTCTGCCTGCTCTGCGCCCTGCTCTGGCTCTGGTGAATTCTCTCACCCTCCCGCGCTTCTGACTGTACCAGTGCTTGTATAAATAAATAAATAAATAAATAAAATCTTTTTAAAAAAATGAAATATATAAATTAGCATTCTTATACACCGTTGGTGGCAGTGTAAATTGATATCTTATTGGAGAAAAATTGTGTAACATGTAACATTACAAGTGCATAATTTCTGTACAATTCCACTTCTAGGAACTTATACTACATAAATATTTGCACATGTGCAAAAAAAGTGTCAAAGATTTTTCAATTTAACTACTATACATACTACACTGCACTGTGCTTATTTTACTTGACAATATATCTTAGAAAGTTATAATTTAGGAAAATAATTTCTTCCTTCCCTGTATCAAGGCTGCCACTATGTTCAGAAAGAGAGAATGTGCTACAAGCATCCTAAATATTTCCCCGTAACACAGATGCTATTCTCCAAATTCTAGAGCTTGGGAAATTACAAACTCTCCCAGTCACTGATGTTGTGTTACACCCTGTGCAACACAGTATTTAGGAAATTTATTTTCTTTTCTCTCATTCCCTAAAAAGACACAAATCTGCTATCTTGTTCTTCATTCTAGCAGTTACTGACTTATCTGGAACGTAAGCAGTACAAATTATGAATCATTCAAACTTTTATGGTTTAGACCTTAACTATGAAACTGCATAGTTTCTGTTGAAAAATGTATTCCTAGTTATAAACATTTGACTTAGAATAACAGAATCAAATGGCTTCTCACTACAGCAATATTTTTCAATTTTTAGATAACATACAAATATCTTGAGAATCTTGTTAAAATGAAGATTCTTATTTATAGTAGGCCTGAGATACTTGCATTTCTAAAAAGTTGCTCAGCGATCCCTACTTGGTTAGTACAGAGGCCATACCTTGAATAGCAAGGAACTATTTAAAATCTAAATCTTCCTGGTATTCAGAGTTTTTCAGCATTTGGTGCCTTCCCACTTTTCCAAATTTATCTCCTACTTGATACCTTCAAAAATCCTTCTATCGAAGACAGACAATTCCGCACATACTTTGTACATACATACACTCAGAAATTTTTTATCTTGTGGTCATGAGCTTTGCCCTCACCCTTTCCTCCATTTAACTAAACATACTTCTAAGTCTCTATTTGAATTCTACATTTTCTAGGTTTTCTCTGTCTTTTCTATCAAATAGTGATCATTCCTTGTTGATATTTCTGAATATACTGGTAATAAAACAATTTATGCAGCTATTTTTTTCTAAATATGTCTTCCTTACACAGTTATTAGAATCTTAAAAACAAAGTCTTAGAGGTTCTGTACACCCAACAACCTGCACAGAGTTGGGTAATATAATAAAGGTATCACTATAAATTTGTAGAGGCAACGAAGCTGTGTATCAAAGCACATGAAACTGAACTTTCCTTCTTCTCTTTGGCAAACTTAACTGTCGAGGGTGAATTATGCAAAGTTACCTATCAGACTAGTCTAGAAATTAAAAATAGGAAGAAGCCAGGAGTCTATCTGACAATTATGAACAATCACGCCAGAGCTGCTACTTTCCCCTCCTCTAGGGAATAGCTTGGACTGACAGGGAGATCGCTATAACTGAAATGCCCTTGTCCCGCTTGCCAGTTTCCTATGTAGTTCACAAGGGTATATTCCACAGTCCCATGATCTCTGAATGATATCTGTGTTCCTGTACAGATCTCTATGATTACAAGTATTTTGTAAGCAGAAAATTTTTATTGCAAACACTGAAGCTAGAATCATAGTCATTCTAAATTGGGAAGCAACGTAACATAATGTTTAAGGGCGTGTTCTTTAACATCAAGTTGCTTATGTTCATGTAAATTTTGCCACTCCTTAGCTGCATGACCATAGGCTAGTTACTTCTCTGGTCAAGACTTACTCATCTATAAAACAGGGGTGATAATAATAGTACATGCCTCATACAGCTGTCGGACTGTATGAGTTAATAGATATAAATCCTGGCAATAATAATTGTTATATATGTCACTATTATTATTTACTAATACTATTAATTCTTCTCACTGACTCAATTTATCTAATTGGCCACCAAGTCCTACTGATCTTTTCACTAAAATTTCTCTCAAATTAATTTACATTCCTACTCCTACTGTTTCAATTCATACTTTCAGACTATAATCAAATTTCTAAGTATTTAGAATAAGGATGAACCTAATTCTTGGAATTAAAACATGGAAACAAATAAAAATCTACAATTTCAACCCTCCATAAACATAGGAAAGTCCAGAACAAATAAATCAGAAATTATACTACACGTTGATTAAGTACAACGTCAGAAAAATGCACAAGTATACAACGGGACTACAGAGAAAAGGACTACGCTACTACTTCATCCCCAAACACTTAGGACATATTTTCTATGTCCCAAAAAAACTATGACCATACTCCTATTTGAGTACACAGTGTACTGTATTTTTCATGCATCCAAATACATCACAATTTTATTTTTTTTTTTTTAAGTTTTTTTTTTTTTTTTAGATTTATTTATTTATTTATACAAGCACTGGGTACAGTCAGAAGCGCGGGAGGGTGAGAGAATTCACCAGAGCCAGAGCGGGGAGCAGAGCAGGCAGAAGGACTGAAGTACACTGCTGAGGGGAGCAGCGGGCGGCAGGAGAGATCTGCGCGCCCTGTGGGACCCTCCTCCAGTGGCCGGGGAGCAGCCGGGGATCGAAAAGGCGCCGCAGAGGCTGCGGGCAGCTTCGCAACCCAGCGCTCAACCGCTGCGCCACTGGGGAGGCCCATACATCACAATTTTAACACGTCTAAAACAGACTTCCTAATTCCCTCACCTGCACTCCTGGCTCTCAACCCTGGCTCCATCATCATGTTCCTTCCCAATCTTCCCTAGGTCAAATGGCATCATCATTTGTATAGTGCCCAAGGTCAAAAACAAGGAACTAGCTTTGATTTTTTTCTCTTTGTCTGACTCCTGTCACAAATTCATCAACAAGCCCTGCTGAATCTACCTTCAAAATATCTCCAAATATCACCAATCCATGCACCTCTACACCTCCCTAGTACAAGTCACCATCATCTTTCACCTACTACTTACTGCAACAATTTCCTAAGTGATCTTTATGTTTACAACTGTAAAATAATGGGATCCTGTTCAAATGTACTCCAATGGACAATTAAAATAAAATCTAAAGTATCTACAGCCCTAAATGATTTGGTCCCTGCCTTCACCTTCCTAAACAGACTTAGTACTACTTTCCTCTTTGTTTGCCCACCAGTTTTACTGGTTTTCTTTCTGTTCCTCTATTATACCAATCTCATTTCACTTCAGGGCCTCTGTCCTTTCTTACCCTTTATCAGGAATACTTGCAGAGCTGACTCCTTACCCTCAGCTCTTAGGCTCAAATGTCAAGGGGTCGTCTCTGACCTCTTACCTAAGGTAGCCTCTGTCCTAGTCACACTCTCATTAAGATTATTTGCACTACTTGAAATTATATCATTTATTTCTTCACTTGTTTACTGCCTGTCTCCTCCTACTAGAATTTAAATAAGAAATGTAATGCCTTGAAAGGTGCCCAATACAAAGCTAGTACTCAATAAAGCATTTTCAAAATAATGAATAATGTTTTAAACAAAATAATTTCAGTGGCCGAGGGGTGAGATGGAACCAAGTCTGAATAGGAATAATAAAAATAAATAGCAGTAAAGAAAAGGAATACAAAATATAAACTTCCTTAAAGAAGAGAGAGCGAAAGTTGGAAAACCAAAGTTGTGGAATGGTCATTACAAAAGGAGGAAAACTTGTTCCTTAATTCTCTTTATCTCAATGTCCCCTTTCAGAATTAACCTAAAGTCCTAGGTTCTCTCCTCAGGAAAATGCAAACACACACCAACTTCACAGTTTCAAGAAGTTCAAGAACTCCCTTATGTTCTTGTACTCCAGATTAAAAAGCCCTACAAAATAAACACAAATTCCTAAAAAGTGATTTAATGTTCAGTGATGGAGAAAGGTCACTTAAGTAATAAGAGGAAGCCCAGGGTGTATACTGACTTCCAGACAAGATAAAAGCAAGGTTAGCTGATGATTTAGTAAGAAGGGATAGAAATTTAGTGTTGAGCATAATACCAGGCACATCAGGCATGTAATATGTGTGCAACTAATGTCTACTGAATATTTTGATAGAACAACTGAAAATACTGAAGTACTCTGCATGAAATTCTGAAATCTGGCTTTATAAAAGGTCAACTAGTTTTCTTTTTATAAAATTGTTTCCAAAGTTCAGACTTAGAAGTAGGAAGGAATTACTTCACTAACAGAAGGATGTAGTAAATCACACAAAAGCTTATGAACAGTTTTAAAATAGGCTTTTGTATTTATAATAAAAAGAAATGAATAAATACTTCAGAAATTGTCTTCAGCAAAAAGTAAAACCACCAAGTTTAACATTTCTTATGAAAAAAAGTAATCTCTCCAATCATCCCATCCAAAATCCATGTTCTTTGTTTCTCTGTAATCCAGACTACATTGTAAAGAATGAACTTGTCTTTTTAAAACAATTATATATAACAGTGGTTATAGAAGAGGTAGTTTTTATCATTATCAAGACCTCTAGGAAACATAAGGGTTAAATAGTTTTCAAGAGACTTTCTGAAGTAAAAGAATTTAGTGATACATACACTGATGTTAACAGAATAACCAGACAGGGCCTCCCTGGTGGCGCAAGGGGTTAAGACACAACCTATGAAGCTGTCCGCAGCCTCTGCCACGTGAGCTCCACGCCTGACCCACTTTGTGCAGCAGAGGTCTCCTGGCTCACCCGCTGCTCCCCTCAGCAGTGTATTTCAGCCAGTCTGCCTGTTCTGTTCCCCACTCTCTGGTGAATCCCCTCACCCCCAGCATCTCTGGCCTGTACCCCAGTTCTTGAGTGCATAAATAAATCTTAAAAAAAAAAAAAAAAAAAGAGAGACGCTGGTCCTGATCTCTTTAATAATAAAAAAAAAAAAAATAAGAATAACTAGACAAATACAATCACCTTACTAACTCATTTGAAAATATTATCATGGGGTATATGTACAAGAAAGTTCATATCAGTGTTGTTCATAATTCCCAAAACTGTAAATCCTAAGTCGACACATAGTAGACTAGGTAACACAAATCAACAAACTACAAACTACAGGGATAAATTCAGGAAACATAACACTGAGTAAAGAAGCAAACTGCAAAGGAATACTTAGTACAAATTCCTTTATATACAGTCCAAAACCAAACCAAACTAGAATATGCACATACAAAGATAGTGAAATATTCACATACAAAGATAGTGAAACTTTAAGGAAAAGCAAGAAAGTGGTTATTACAGAAGTGAGGAGAGTGGCTGCCTCTGGGGAAAAGAAGAGATGTGTGACGGGAAGAGGGAATGAATAATAACACCTGCTTTAATTCCTTCTCTATATGGAGGACTTTAAAAGCAAATTACCCTAAACACCGAATCACACAACTGAAAGCCAGAAAGAATACCCAAAGAATCTCTACATTTTGTTATATACTGGTCTGCAAGTAGTGAATTTTATGAGATGGTAACCAAAATAAGATATATTTTGAAAGCTGCCATTAAATAATGCCTTAAATAAGCTTATTGTTTAAAACCAATATTTTATCAATGTACCTTTCTAGTTGTTTCCCACGAAACAACAGTTTAGTTCACTGATCAATGAAAATACAAACACGAATCAGTTTTATCCTCCAGACACAAAAGAGGTGACACTTTCCTTTTATACCTAGCCTACTTTAGTTGAAGTTACAAGCCAACTGTTATTCTATTTGTTTCCTTACAATTTAAAAAAGTTATACTTGAAAAGCTGAAAAACAGTAGAGAACATTTAAAACAACGAATTCCCTGGGATTTAAGGGTCTGAAGTGTTAGAAGGAAAACGCTGGGACACTATCACCTATGCAACTTTTCCTAAAACCTCGATCCTTGACTGTTTAAAGGAAACTACTTATGTATACATATTCCCATGAGTTTTTAGCTTTCAGATCCATGCTTAACCTCGTTATTAAACTTAAAATCTCAAGTATTTTTTTTTTTCAAACAAAAGTCAGCTTACCCTGCCTTTCCTGTGTATAATTTCTACGGAATTTATAAGAGATTATCATGCAAATGCCTATGTAACTCTCGGCTCTTTACTTCCCAAAGTCTATACAAAGCGGCTTAAAAGTGAGTATTTCGAGTGAGGAAAAGCCAGGTTGAACCCCCAAATCTCTGCCTTCCAAATTCCTCAGCTCCACTCCAGAGCGTTTCTAAACAGAACAGTCCCCCCAACAACCAGCGGAGAGCCGCGGCGGGAAGCGCAGCGGTCACCATAGGAACTGCCACCAACCTGAAGCTCCCAAGAAACCAGGGCAATTTTGCCGGACCGCACCTCAGCCGGCTCGGGCAGTGAATACCCACCTCCGGGATCACCCGGGGTCCCCCCGCCTCCGCCAAACCCACCCTTGCAGACGCCTTCTAGGAGGCCTTCTGCTCAGGAGCTGCTTTACTCTAAGCACGAGCATCCCCCTGCTTCTACCTGGAGCTCCAGGTCCCTCCCTGAGTTTGGCGGCCCGCGGTCCTCCCCGGAGCTCATCCTGCCGACAAGTGGGCCACGGCCTCCGCCGGGGAGCCAAGCCCCTTCGCGTCTCCATCCTCCGCCCCTTTTCCCTCTCTTCCCACCCCCAAATCGCCCTGGCCCCGCCCCGGTGGAGGCCGAGGAAGGCGGGAACCCGAGGGAAGAAGGCTGGGGCGGTTAGCGCCGCCGCCGGCCCCGCCCTCACGCTCTGTACCTGAGGGGGGCTCGTCCTCCACCTCCTCGGCGCCTACGCTTCGCTTCCGTCCCGCGCGCCCCCAGTGCCCGTGCGCACGCGTACCTGGCTCGACCCTCTGTCGCGCGGGGACTACAAGTCGTGCGCGCGCACCCACGCACGTAAAGTCGCGTACATCCACCAGCCCGCCTTACAGGGCGCCTGAGAGAGGCCTCTTCCTGGGCCATCCGCGCTGCGCAGGCGCACGCCCACTCAGCGGCCAGCCGCCCCTCCCGCGCGTTCCGTCTCTTAGTAACCAGTCGCTCGCCCCTTCCCACCGCTTCCGACTCCTTGCAGGCAGCTGCCACACCTGGATGGAACACGCATGCGCAGAGCTGGGTCTCTTTCCGCAGCCTTCAACCCTGGAGCACCTGCTGCTTCGCGGCCCCCGCTTTGTGTCACTTTTCCCAAGGATCGGGCACCATTCTGGACCTACGTACAGTAAACCCGTTGCTCCCCAGAACGGCTCGCTGGAGCTTGGAGGTCGTTGTGCTCTCCTGCGGCCGCGCAGAGCCAGTTTTGGGGGGGAGCCTCCTCCTGCTGCATCCCCCTCGGTGAGAGCCCGCCCCGCCTGGCCTGTTCTGGTGAGCCCTGGCAGCCTGCAGTCTGGGGAGCCGGTGGACCCACGGCTCGGGTCAGTCCTGCACGATTCAGTCAGAGTTGAATCAGGGAATGTCAGAACTAGCAATGAAAGTGCAGATTACGGACCTATAGCAGTTCTCCGAATTCCTTTTCCCAGAAAATTTGGTGATGGTTAACGAAAGAAAAGGGTGTACAGCTTCACTTGTTATTTAATATTGTATAATTGTTTTCCTCCTTAATACCACTTCACTTGTCTTCTATCAATGAGAAACGTTAAGTCTGAGAACACTTATTTAACTTAACCAGGTGCAATATTATTTTGGGTCATCCAACTATGTTAAAATTAACGACCTTGCCTAAAAATGGAAAAAATGAGCTTTTTAGTGAAAAAATAAAAATTACATTATTCTGACAAGTTCTTGGAGCCCACCTTGAAAAATGTCTTTTTAACATTTCTTAGTGTTTAAATAATCCAAGAGCGTCTGCACTCTAATGGTGACTTTATCTCCCTGTCTTTTTCTACAGATAAATAGATAACTAGGTTTTTGTAACTGTTCTCTGACGATCTTCATATACTGTACACCTGTGCATTTTAAGAGTAGTCTCTCATTTGAAGATACTAACAATCCCTGTTTTGCCAGGTGAGTACTCATTTTTCCCACAATGTGGTACTGGCAAGCATAAACAAATTTTATGTTAGGACAAATTTCTTTATTAAAGTACACTTAAATGTAATGCCTTATATTTTTCCAACCTCTGCTCTGATTTTTTTCATCATTATTTGTGCCATTACATTTTCTTACATTTTGTAGCATTTATTTTCAAGTACATAATTTGTAAGTAAGTACAGCTACATATTAAAAATTACATTGAGTATCCTAGTTATTTAATGTAAAGCGGTCAGAGGTCCCAAGAGGTACATTTTCTCTGAAATATAATTATATTTGATAAAATAAGTTACAAAGAAGTTTTCAAAGACCATCCTGAAAATAAATATATGTTCTTATTTCTTCTTCAGATACAAGATTATTTTGATGGAAAGTTTCTCATCTAGCATTATTGAAAAGAAATAGGGGAAATGTGGAATTTGACTTTTACTCTGAAATAGGAAGTAATGAGAGCATATTGAGTAGAGGATTGATGTGATCTGCCTTATGTGTTATAAGACTCATTCCAGATACTGTTTGAGGAACATACAATGGGATGGATGGGCAACAGTGGAAATAGAACCAGAAGTGAAGGATTAAATGTGGAATATGAAATAGCATTTTAAAATGATTCCAGCAGCAGTACACAGGTTTCCTGTAATCCTGCATTCTCCTTAAGATGTGGTGCTATCCACCTTTCTAAAGTTGATGATTCTGATGGTAGAAAATTTGTTTCTCTGATTTCTGTAAGTTTGAACATCTCTTTTTATACTTGTTATCTATTTGGCATTCTTCAGTATGTGAATCGTGTCCTTATCTCCTTTGCCCATTTCTCTATTTGGTTTCCTATTTCCTTGGTTTCCTTCTTCCTTGTTGATCCATTCATTTGGTTTGGGGCATTTAGTCTGTTTCCATATCTTGACAACATGTTATAAATCCCTTAGTCAGCTTTGGATAGCACATCTTCCAGTCTCTTCTCTTTCTACTTAACTTTGTTTATAGTTTCTTTATTGAAGATCAGTTTTTAATTGTGAGTAGTTAAGCCCATATGTTTTCCTTCTTTTTGTTTGTCTTTTTAGTTTTTGTTCAAGAAATTATTTTCCACTGCAAGATTATAAATGTATTGTCCCATATTTAAAAATTGTGTTTACAGTTCTTACTTTCACTTTAGGTCATCACTGCATGTGGAATCTTCTATAAGATAGAAGATTTTCATTTTCATCTATACAACAAAGGAGTTAGAACAGACTAAGTTTAGTAATATAGTGTTATCAGACAAAGGAGTGGGCCTGGGGCCCCCAGCCTGATCCAACTTCCCCTCCAACACAGGCAGAGAAGCTGATAGCCAACCAGCCACTGTCCACTGCTCCATCTACCAGGAGATGGACCAAGGGATCCCGCTGCCAAGCCAGGAAAAGGCTTTTGAGACTCTCACTCTGGTCAATATTTAAAATATCTCACAGACACCAGTGAGGGCAGGCAAAGAGTCACTATCAGCAAAAGAGCAAGGAAAGAGCCCTCTGGGGAGACCTCTCTGGGCGAGATATTCCCAGAGGTGCTGGGGTGAAGGGTCTATATAGATGTTAAGGACTCAGGTTTGTTGACAAAGGAATTCAACCTTAATGGCTGAGAAAGCACAGAGAGTGTACTTGGCTAACTTCCATTCGTTGTTGCTAATTGTGGGCACCAATCAGCTGCAGCTTGGTAGTTATGCAGGCCTTGTGACCATCTCCAAGGTGAGTATCTCAGGAAAGCTGTGTACCCACAGCTCCAGTTTGAACTGGTATAGGGGTAAATGATTTTCAGGCTTTTCTGCCCTCCCACCATTCGGATTGCCCTGCCTGATGGGGCACCTGCAGTTATTATGTTAGGGGAAAAAGGATGTCCTAAAGCTAATTCCATACAGGCTTTGTGGACTCCACCCCCACTCCAGACCAAAGCCATCAAGACACTGGGAACAACAAATCCCATCACCACCAAAGGGAAGGTTGCTGGAACCTGAGGGTGGGGTTAAGCAGCCAGGTTTGGTATAAAACCAGACACACGGGCTTTGGGGGTTTTCCCTTTTTTTTTTTTTGGCTCGCAGCCAGCTTGCAGCTGGGGCAGCTCTCCGAGTGCCTTTGGGGTTTCCAGGTCCGCAGATGGGGTAGGACGCATTAAAGACTTTATTTCCCTATTTTCTCCCTGAGTTGTACATTTCCTCATTTCCCTTTCCCTTGTAAATAAACCTTTTATTAACCTTTTGTGTGTGCCTGTAGTGGAGTATTAGTAAGTCCCTTTTAAGCGTGCAGGTGAGGACCCACAGCCAGGCAACCCCTTTTATATCGGGTTGCTCCGTAACAGTTACATTGTTGTAAGCTGTCTTGTTTACTTCTGTGGGCCCTAGAAGGAGTATTGAGATAGTTGCCAAGAGAAGCAGAAGAGGCAGGACAGAGAAGGGGAGAAAGACGGCCAGAGAAGCCCAGAGTAAAGACTTGCCTGGGGCTTGGAGACCTTCCGGCATCCTGGCCTCTCCCCACACCCCTGCCTGCCGTGTACCTAGTTGTTGCACTACATGTAAAGCTCAATAAAAGCCTGAGAAAGCCACCGAGGGCTCCAGAACTCTCCTTTACCCTGTTGCTCGGATCATAAAGAACCAGCCCTGTGACCATCCTGCTCTTACAACTGTCTGGTCTCAAAGGCCGTGACTCTTCTGTGTCTGCAACTCCTTTTCCTTCCAGTAGCAGCAACTTGATAAGCTGTGTAAAGATAGCTCAGAAATGTTAAAAAGAAACAATCAATGAAGGAAATTTATGGCAACAAGTGTCCAGGCCTAGAACCATCAGGTTTTTAACCTCTTATTTACCAGCTTGTGGGAACAGTAAAATATTTGCAAATTTTTGTCCTTGAGTCCTGTCCCGTCCTGTCCCTATCCAAGGACTCTTCCTTTCTCATTAACAACTACTTTGTTATGTGGTACCACCTTTACCATATCATTATGAAGTTCCTACACAAACCTAGAATCAGACTTTTGGTTCTTTTGACATTGTAGCATATTTTACTATCTGGTAAGGCAAGTTTGGTTTTTTTTTGTGTAGGTTTGTGTCCACACTTATTGAGCTCTTTGTTCTTTCATATATATTCATGTATCTTGAATGACAGGCCAAAGAGGCCCCAAGTAGACTTGTTCTCCCTGCATCTCCTCAAGATCCCAGAGATGTTATGGTGAAGATTCATAGGGTCAAATCTACCCTATTGGATTTGGTTCCTTTTCAATCCCTCTGTTAGCTGAATTTAGTGGGCTAGCTGACAATTATATACATTGCCATTATTTTACATTTGTTGATTTCAAGTGCAGTAGATTGTGTCATGAATTTTCTTTTCTAATTTTTTTAGCTTCATATTTTGAAAAAATTTTAGACATAAATGCATCAAGATTAATACATCAGGCATTTTTTATCCTGACTTAAATATTTTGCATGTTTTACTTTCCATATCTGTCACAAAATAATTTAAAAGCAAATTGTTGGTATGATTCTTTACCCCCAATTTCAGCAAGTATCTCCTAAGAACAGGGTATTCACTTTGGTTTTTTTCTTTTCTATACTTATTTTCTTACATCGTAGTTAATTTTTAGACAGTATTTGATTTCTCCCCTCAGGGGTAGTCCCTGGTTTTCCTACCACCTTAGCACCCATGCTCCATCACCACAGTTCCTCATGCTCTTTCTTCCCATTTGACCTCTCTCCTTCCTCTAACCCCTGTTTTATGTCTCAGATCTAAGGGGGTCAGCTTGCAAGTTTTGTCTTTCCTGACACATTGTTTGGATTATTCCACATATATTCCACATATAAGTGAAACCATATGACATTTATCTCTTTCCTTCTGACTTATTTCACTTATTATAATCCCTTCCGTGTTGCTGTAAATAGCATGAGTTTATTGTTATTGATTGCTGAGTAGTATTTCATTGGGTATACATACCACATCTTTTTGATCCATTCATTTGGTTTGGGGCATTTAGTCTGTTTCCATATCTTGACCGTTATAAATAGTGCTGCAGTAAACATAGGAGTACAGGTTTCCTTTCAAATTAGTGTTTTTGTGTCCTCTGGGTAGGTAGATTCCTAGGAATGGAATTGCTGGGTCTTATGGTATATAGATTTTTAGTGTTTTGAGGAACCCCCACACATCTTCCCTAGTGACTGGACCAGTTTACATTCCCACCAGCAGAGTAAGAGGGTTCCTTTTTCACCAAATCCTCACCAGCTTTTGTTGTTTCTGGTCTTTTTAATATGGGTTATTTTCATTGGTGTGAAGTGGTGTCTCATTGTGGTTTTGATTTGTATTTCCCTGATAATAAGTGATACTGAACATTTTTTCATATATCTGTAGGCCATTTGCATTTCTTCTTTAGAGAAGCATCTTTTTAGCTCTTCTGCCCATTTTTTGATTGGGTTGTTTCCTTTGTTTTTGTTGATTTGTGTAAGCTCTTGTAGATCTCAGTCTCTTACCCGTTGTATGGTATGCAAATATACTTTCCCACTCAGTGGGGTGTGTCTTTGTTTTGGTCACTGTCTTGCTGTACAGAAGCTTTTTAGTTTGATGTAGTCCCAACTGTTTAGTCTCATTTGTTTTCCTTCCTTTTGGAGGTGAGTCCTCAAAGACGTTTCTGAACTTTATGTTATGTTTTGTTTATGTTTTCTTCTATATATATTATGGTTTCTGGCCTTATATTCAAGTCTTTTATCCAATCAAGTAGATTTTTGTGTATGGTCTGAGGGAATAGTCTTGTGTTATTCTTTTGCATGCGGTAGTCCAATTTTCCTAGCATCATTTATTGAAGAGACCTTCCTTGTTCCAGTGTATATTCTTTGCTCTTTTGTCATAGATTAGTTGACCATATATGTGTGGTTTTACTTCCGGGCTTTCGATTCCATTGGTATGTGTTTCTGTTTTTGTTCTAGTAGCACTGCTTTTATTATGGCTCTGGAGTATAGTTTGAAGTCAGGGAATATAATGACTCATTCTTCTCCTTTTTATCAGAAGGGCTTAAGGTATTTGGATTTTTTGTGATTATATTGGGAATTTTATTGGAATGGCATTGAGTCTGTAAATTGTTTTGGGTAGAGTGGATATATTGGTAATGTTGATTCTTCCAATCCATGAGCAGGGAATGTCTTTCCATTTCTTTCTGTCTTCTTCTATTTCTTTTAACAAAGTTTTTAAAGGGCCTCCCCCATGGCGCAGTGGTTGAGCACCACGCTGCAAAGCTGTCTGCAGCCTCTGCAGCATTTACAGTATTGGTTCAATTCCCCACGGTCTGCCTGTTCTGCTCCCTGCTGTGGCTCTGGTGAATTATCTCACCCTCCTGCACTTCTGACCTGTACCCTAGTTCTTGTATAAATAAATAAATCTTTAAAAAAACCAAAGTTTTTAATTTTCCTTGTATAGGTCTTTCACCTCTTATGTTAGCTTTATTTAATTTTTTTGGTACAATTGTAAATGGAATGGATTTGTTTTGTTTTTACTTTAATTTCTTCCTCTTCAGATTGCTTGCAAATAAAAAAGCTATTGATTTTTTAAATATTTTTTTTTTTTTGTAACCTGCTACTTTACTGAACTGGTTTATTGCTTTAATTAGTTTTTCCATGGATTTTTAAGGGTTCTCTAAATATATTATCATATCCTCAGCAAATGATAGCTTTACTTTTTCTTTCCCATTTTGGATTTCTTTTATGTCTTTCTCTTACCTGCTTCTCTAGCTAAGACTTCCAGTATTGCATTTAAAAGCAGTAGTGAGAGTGGACATTCTTGTATTGTTCCCCATCTTAATGGAAAGGCTTTCAGTTCTTCACCATGTTTGTTATATATGGCTTTTATTACTTTAAAATATGTCCCTTTAATCCCAGGTTTTTTAAGGGCCTTCATCATAAATGGATGTTGAACTTTATCAAATGTTTTCTTGGCATCTATTGATATGATCATATGGTTTTTCTTTTTGTTGATTTAGTGAATTACATTATTTGATTTTCGGATATTGAGCCATCCTTGAGGATTTTTGCGTCTGTGTTCATTAGGGGGATCAGTCTGTGATTTTCTTTTTATGTGTTGTCTTTGTTTAGATTAGATATTGGTGTAATGTTGGCCTCATAAAATGTATTTGGTAGTGTTCCTTCTTTCACAGTTTTTTGAAAGAGTTTTTGTAGGATTGGCATTTGTTCATCTTTGAGTGTTTGGTAGCACTTCTTTGTGAAACCATCTGGTCCTGGGCTTTTGTTTTTTGGGAGCATTTTGATTACTGTTTCAGTTTACTGCTTGTAATTATTTTGTCTAAGTTTTTTATTTCTTCTTTGTTCAGCCTTGGGTGATTGTATAGTTCTAAGAATTTGTCCACCTCATCTAGATCGTTGAAATTGTTTGCACATAATTGTTCATCATAATCTCTAATTATTCTCTGGATTTCTGCTATGCCTGTTGTAATTTCTCCTCTTTCATTTATTTGAGTTTTCTCCCTCTTTTTCTTTTTGTGCCTGGCTAGGGGGTTTGTCTATTTTGCTTATTTTTTCAAAGAACCAACTTTTGGTTGCATTGATCTTTTGGACTGTCTTTTGTGTTTCTATTCTATTTATTTCTGTGTTAATTTTTATTATTTCCTTTTTTTACTGTTTTTTTTTGCTCCTTTTCTAGTTCCTTGAGATGGGAGATGAGGTTGTTTCTTTGGGTTCTTTCTTGTTCTTAATGTGGGCTTTTATTGCTATATACTTTTCTCTTGCTACTGTTTTTGCATACATTCTGAAAGATTGTGTCATTATCATTTGTCTTAAGGTATTTTTTTTATTTCTTCTTTCATTTCTTCATTAATCCAATGATTATTCAGTATCATGTTGTTCAGTGCCCATGTAATTTGGGATCTCTTTGCTTTCTTTTTGTAGTTGATTTTTAGTTTGATACCTTTATTGTCAAAGAAGATACTTGATATGATTTCTTGTGACCCAGCATGTGGCCAATATTGGAGCATTCTCTATGTTCACTTGAGAAAAATGTGCATTTTGGTTTTTGGCAAATGTGTTTGTTTCCTATAGATGTCTATTAGGACCATGTGATCTGTATCTTTGTTTAGGACTATTTTGTCTGTTTATTTTCCATCTCATTGATCTGTCCATTGGTGAGAGTGGGGTGTTGGAGTCTCCTACCACATATGTATTTTCAGAGACAGTAGTAATTGTCTAATGTATTTTGGTTCTCACTCATTTGGTAAGTATATATTGATCAATATTATGTTTTCCAGATGTCCCCTTGAACATTATATAGTGTCCATCCATATCTCTTTTCATCTTCACTTGCTGGAAGTCTATTTTATCCTGCCCCTGCCTCCTTTGGGTGAAAGACAAATAGAGTATTTGTGGGTACTCTGGCCTTACATAATTATTATTTTTTAAATAATGAATTGAAAGTTTTTGATAAAAAGAATAATAGAAAGGACTAGTAGAGAAAGTATTATTTTCTCAAAGATGGTGGAACATAAATCTGGTAAATTCCTTTAAAAAAAAATACTCACAGACACTGTGGAACATACAAACCTTCCAACAAAGAAAATGTAAATAATTAGAGAAAGAATCAATTTTACTTTATATTTTTGGTATCTGTGTCATTTTCATTTAAAACAAACATTGCCATGAAGTTAGTTGTTGAAATTCCTGCTGTATTCACTTGTTAACATTTTTTTACCCCAAGCTATCAAGTTGAAGAAATACTTCCACTACGTAAAGCGTTATCTGAAAATCACCTTGGTATTTGTTCATCTGTCCCAATGGGATTTTCTCTGAGTAAATCTACTACTCAGGTATCTGCTATGCATTTAGATTCAAAAGTGGATGATCACTTAATCCAAGGGACTGAGAAAAGCAAGCTGGAACCAGTGACTCAATTATTCCAAAACACGAAGAAAATAAGATTAGAAGACACAAACCAAGAAATCTTTACAAAGACTAAAGAAACTGGCACAAGAGCTCTTTCAGAGGAAGACTTGGGTTCAGTGGTATATGTTAAAGAATGTGATGGAATAGAAATGACAGATGTGGAATGAAGTCATTTGTACCTGTTGTCAAAGAAACCAAAAATTGCTTTTGACAAGGTATGTTGAATGAGAAAACCTTAATAAGAAAACCTAACAAAATGAAGAAAAAGAATTGCTTATTTTTCACTATTTTTCAATCACCTTTCACTGCATTTTTTGATGATAAGTACTCAAAAAAGTTGCTTTAGGAAGAAAAAGCTTTACAAAATTCAAAGCATATTTCTCTGGTATTACATTCTATCCTTGTCAAAAATCAGAGTTTTTGATTAAGAGTATTTAAATAGCACCAAAACATTGTAATCATAATGTATTTAAAATTGATGAAAAACTAAACATAAACTGTACCCAAACAATTTGAGATCAGTATTTTACACTACTTCTAGTGTACGAATTTTGTAATTTTGTATGTTATGTTTCCAATTTGGGATTTTGCTTCAGGGTGCTGTAAAAGATCTGTGGTAATCTGTATTTTTGTTCTGTAAGTGATCTGTGTTAATCTGCAAAAATCCAGTAAATTGTGTAACTTCTTTAACATTCCACATTTTAAGTTTTCCTTTTAAAGCCTTTTTCCTCCCACATTGAATTCACTGCAGTTTGAAAATAGTTATTTCCAAGTATAATAGTTTATCTTGCAGGTGCTACCACTTTATACCACCAATATTTACCATAAGAAAGCAGTCTAGTGTTAAAAAAATTCTTGTTTCATATATCAGTTTGCCACTGTAAGTATCTAGCAGTTTGAAACAGCAGTATTGTTACACGTAATGTTTGATGAAAATAAAGCCATTTTGTGTCTGGCTTTATTATGACCTGTAACTATATTATATATGTTTTGGGCATTTTTTATATACTTTAATTTTTAATGACTATCTCTAATAGCCAATTGAGTAATCTCCTTAATATTCATAAAAACAAAGAAAAAATATCATCTTAGGAGAAGTAATATTTTATAAATCAGAAGAATGCTAAACAAAAGTAGGGACTAATCAACCTAGAGTAAAAATAATTGTTGAATGGAACATAAGCCAATAAGATGATGCTTTTTATCATTTACAGAACATAATTCTTTGGAAGAAAAAAATATATCTAAATCATTTATTCACCTAACCTGGAACTGTACTGAGTGTTGGGGTAGAGTTGAGTGTAGCCATTGCCTTCATAGTATGTACTATGTATTTCCCAAGGAAAGATAAAAAATCAGATTTTTCTGTAAGATGCAAATTGTGATGGGACAGGATGTAAAACGTTCAGACTTATCAGGAGACATAAACTTGACTTTTAATTGTGCAAAGCAGGAAGGCTTCTGTGAGGACATGATAATTATAGTAGTCATACTGCTGTCCAAGTGAAATGATGTTGGTCAAGATGTTGAGAAGGGTAGATACTCCAGGTAAAGTATGGCATGGAGGTTCCCTGGAGGAAAGGGTGACTTCAAGAGCACAGTTTTTATACATACCAGGTTTCTAAGACAAGTAGACAGTTGTATGTATGGAACTAAAAATATAAAATTGGAAATTGTACACAAAAGTGTTGTTTAAAGTCATGATAAAGAGATTGCTTAAGGCTAATGTATAGAGTGAGATAAAATCCTGAGAAACTACAGCGTTTAAGAACTGGTCGGGGCAGGGAAAACTGACAAAGGAGACTGAGGTGTAGATAATGAGCTTGGTAGAAAACCAAGACAGGGTAATGTCAAGATTCCTAATCTGAGTTGTTCATCTTAACTGCAAGGTTAGATGAAAACGGAAAGGTTCATTGGATCAGACCAGCAAACTGAGACCACTGGAGAAGTAAGATGAGACTGAGTACGTGTTTGAGTGTCAGTGGAAGACTCCAATAGAGATGGCTCCAAGGGAGAGCTAAGAATAACCAAAGGACAGAGGTCTCAGAGCAGTTAGGAACTAATGGGATTCCTACTCAAGAAATTAAGGGGAAAAACTACCATCTCAAGTTTTATTAACTATCTTCTTATTTTGTAAGAAAGACTAATTCAGGGCCTCCCTGGTGGCACAAGGGTTAAGACGCAACCTATGAAGCTATTGGCAACCACTGCAGCACGAGTTCAATCCCAGCCAAGGAGCAACCCACATGGTGCAGCAGACCTCTCCTGACTCAAGTGCTGCTCCCCTCAGCAATGTATTTCAGTCATTCTGCCTGTTCTGTTCCCCACTCTGTCTCTGGTGAATCCTCTCATCCCCCACACCTCTGGCCTGTTCCCCAGCTCTTGTATGCATAAATAAATAAATCTTAAAAAAAAAAAGGAAAAAAAAAGACTAATGCAAGTGACTTCAAAAAAAAAGGGTAAAAATAAATAAATGAGGAGCCATTACATCTTATTATAGCTTTATTTGGAGTTCTGGTCATTCAAGTGTCAACATCATCACACTGAACACTGGATGCTTTTTCAAGATTCAAGTCTTGATGATATCTATTGTAACTGAAGGAGGGACTGATTTCTGAGAAGACTGAAAAAGTGACCACAAATGCTTTGGGCACCTCTCACCAAGAGGAGGGCCCTTTACCCCACTCCTTAACTCTGGGCTGACTTTGCTGTTGTTTTTGTGCCAGTAGAATATGGCTGAAATACTACTTCCAAGGCTAGCCCTGGGCTAAGACGCCCTAGCAAGAGTCCTTGACCAAATGCAAGGGTGTGACTAAAGTCATAGGGAACCTCCCAGTGCAGCCAACCCTTGCTGAATGAAGCTGCACTGTTAGGCTCAGGTGAAACCAATAGGGGAATCGCTCAATTTGTTCATATAAAGTGTTAGAAATAGTGAACTGTTTTAAGTCACAAATATTTGAGGCGGTCTGTTACATAGCAATAGTTAACTGAAATTATCACTTTGCTACTTTGGCTTGCTGGGGACTTTCCCAACTGATGGGTTTTCTTGCTAGCTGTAGTGAGGGATACCCTCCCACCCCAAGTGGTAATGTTCATTGGCCTCTGTGTGTTTGTTTTCTGATTCACCCAGTCCTATTACTTAATGTATTGCGAATATAAGCGTTCATTTCTTTAAACGCAACGGTAACGTGTCTTTTAAAATTGATTTTAACTGGTCCAACCACTATGGAGAGCTGTGTGGAGATTCCGCAACCTACTAACATAGAGCTTCCATATGATCCAGCAATTCCACTCCTAGGTATTTACCCAAAGGACACAGAAACATCAATTCCAAAGAGCACCTGCACCCCTATGTTTATAGCAGCACTGTTTACAATAGCTAAGTCTGGAAACAACCCAAATGCCCAAAAATAGATGACTGGATCAAGAAGATGTGGTACATATACACCATGGAATATTACTCAGCATTCAAAAAAGATAAACACATGCAATTTGCAGCAACATGGATGGCGCCGGAAGGGATCATGCTCAGCGAAATAAGCCAGAAAGAAAAAGAAAAATACCGGATGGTCTCACTCATAGCAGGAATCTAGAAAACCTAAATAAGGGACCCGGAAAAAGAATAACTATAAGAAAGAAAAAATCAAAATCAACAAACAACTATGAACCAGAGACACACTAAGGCGGGGGCGGGGGGAGAGGGGGAGCGGGGAAAGGAGGGATTGGGGTCAAAATAAGGGGGTTGCAATTGTATGGGGAATATAAAAATAAAAATTTTTAAAAATAATAATAAAATTGATTTTAGTTTCCTCACCTTCCAAGTGGAGTTTTAGGCCCTCTGGACAGTGAGACGGCTACGTAAAGACCTGCTGCGACCATGGACAGTTTGACAGGTTTTCTACATGGGCCTGACCTGTGATCAGTCAGCGTTCCTGGCGGACTTCCCAGACTCGCCCCTCCAGGCGCCCCCTCCAGCCTGACAGAGCAGCTCTCCTACCTTCGCCCCGGTGACTCTCACCGCTGTGCGGCCGCGCGAGGCGCTTGCCTTCCAACTGGGCCCTCATGGCTTCCGGTACCATTTGAAGGGGGACTGCGCCCTGCCTCTACCTGGTTTGGCACCGGCTGAGCCACTGCGAAGACCCCTCAGGCACCCGGCGGGCTGCTCGGCCCACCAGGTAGCTCGAGGCCGGACGCGACCCTCCGCCTTTCCCCGCGCTTCCGGCCGCCGCGCCCGCGCCCTCCCCTCCTCCCGCCCCTCCGCGGGCGGGCCTGGCTGGGCGGGCCTGGCTGGGCGGCCGGCGAGTGGGCGGCCCGCGGAGGCTGGGGTCACACGCGACCTTCTCCCGCACCAGCTCGCGCGCGGCCAGAGGCACCCCCGGGAGCCGCAGGTGGGTGAGGCCGGATGCGGGGTTTCTGGGCGCTGCGGCCTGGGTAGGGGCCTTAGCCTTCTCCCCGGGCGCGCCGGGCGTCCCGGGCCCCGGCGGCTGCCTGGGGACTTGGGATCCTGGGACCCGGCCCGCCGGGCGCGCGGTGGCTGGTGCTGAGGGCGCAGCAGCTTACACTGGGCGTTGGGAACGAGCCAATTTCACCGCGAGGTGGTTTATTCCCAACACGGGAGGGGGAAAATGTTAACCTTGTGGGCGGTCATCTGTGACCTCACCCCCAAAGAGCCAAAAAAAGTCGAATTAAAACATGCATACCACCTGAAAGAGACTCAGCTTAAGTTACGTACTGCAAAGAGGCAGCAAAATAGCCTCGGTAAAGTTTGCTAAGGAGCTGAGTCTGCCCAGAAGGGTAGACGGAATTGTGTTATTTTTTCCCTGCTCCGTGATGGACAAGCATGTTTGACTATTCAGATTAGTGCTAGCGAAGTGCCCTCCTAGAGCATAGAAATAAGATTGCCTTCCTAGAGAAAAACTATAAAAATAGCAATGAAACGGTATGAGATAAGCAGAGTTAGTTTAAATAAAATGTAGCAGGCTTTCCAAGTCTTGACTATGTCATGACAATTATAGACTATGTCCCAAGTTTTCTATGCAGAGACTATAAATTGCCTCAACTTTTATGTGGCATAACTTATTAATATATATAGATTAATGAAAATATGAAGACTTTAATTTTTCTAAGATTTATTTATTTTTATTAATGCATACAAGAACTGGGGTATAGGCCGGGGGTGGGGGGTTGTGAGAGAATTCACCAGAGACAGAGTGGGGAGCAGAACAGGCAAACTAACTGAAATACACTGCTGAGGGGAGCAGCTGGTGAGACCTAAGAGGTCTGCTGTGCCTTATGAGTTAGCTCCGTGCCTGGGGATCAAACTCAGGATGCAGTGGCTACAGATAGCTTGATAACGCTGAGACCTTAACCCCTGCACCACCAGGGAGGCCCTAAAGACTTTAATTTTTCAGTGGAATTGTGCTTTAGGATGTTAGCTAAAGAACTTGATCTAACTATAGACTTTAATAACACATTCTATCCCAGTTCTTTAACCTGGAGGAAAATTGTGACCATTCTAAAAAATAGACTTGGAATAGAATGGTTTCTTTATGACTACTCAAAATAGTTACTACTGCTAGTATTTTCAGCCCCACCTTATACTTTATTACCACTAACAAAAATAATGTGTAGTGTCTAAAAATAATAAAATTGTTAATAGATTTCCCATGTGACCCTGAAACTGTGATTGCCTCCCCCCCCCCTCAGGCAGTCAATCGTAATTTAATATGGATTTTTTTTATTAATTAGTTTTTTTTGTATTTTTACATCATTGTTCATTTTTAAGCAATATTTGCCCTCCACCCCCTCAGGTGTAGTCCACATAGTTTCCTTCATCAGTGCACCCGTGCACCATCACCACAGTCCCCTGTGCTCCTCCCTCCCTCCCTCTGATCCCTCTCCCGCCTCCTCCCCTGTAGTATGTCTGATTTATAATTGTCCGTTTTTGCTTTGTTGTGTTTTGTACTGTTATTATTTTTTTACACTGATGTCTTAGTTGGTTCCCTTATAGTCCTGCTATAACTGAAACCATCTGCTATTTTTCTTTTTCCTTCTGGCTTATTTCACTGAGCATAATTCCTTCTAGCTCCATCCACGTTACTGCGAATGGCATGAGTCTATCTTTTTTGATTGCTGAATAATATTCCATTGTGTATGTATACCACATCTTCTTGATCCAGTCATCTATTTTGGGGCATTTGGGTTGTTTCAGATTTTACCTATTGTAAATAGTGCTGCAATAAACAAAGAAGTACAGGTGTTCTTTTTAATCAATGTTTTTGTGTCCTTTGGGTAGATCCCTAGGAGTAGAATTGCTGGGTCATATGGTAGCTCCATTTTTAGTAGACTGAGGAACCTCCAGACAGCTTTCCATAGTGGCTGGACCAGTTTGCACTCCCACCAGCAATGTAGGAGAGTTCCTTTTTCATCATATCCTTGCCAACATTTGTTGTTGCTTGTTTTTTTGATATGTGCCATTCTTACTGGTGTAAGGTGGTATCTCAATGTGGTTTTGATTTGCATTTCCTTGATGATAAGGGATGTTGAACATTTTTTCATATGGCTGTTGGCCATTTGCATTTCCTCTTTGGAGAAATGTCTTTTGAGTTCTTCTGCCCATTTCTTGACTGGATTGTTTATTTTGTTTTTGTTGAGCCATGTGAGTTCTTTGTATATCTTCGTGATCAGTCCCTTATCAGTTGAATGGAGTGCAAAGATTTTTTCCCATCAGTGGGGTGTCTCCCTGTTTTGGTTAAAATCACTTTTGCTGTGCAGAAGCTTTTAGTTGGATATAATCCCGGGTGTTTATCTTTGCCTTCACTATCACTGCTTTGGGTGATGTGTCTTTAAAGATGTTTCTGAGATGTATGTCTTGTAGTGTTTTACCTATATTTTCTTCTATATATTTTATGGTTTCAGGTCTTATGTCCAGTTCTCTTATACATTTTTAGGATTTTTGTGCGCGGTGAGAGGTAGTGGTCTACTTTCATTTTTTTGCATGTGGTGGTCCATTTTTCCCAGCACCATTTATTGAACAAACTGTCCGTGTTCCATTGCATGTTCTTTGCTCCTTTGTCAAAGATCAGTTTTCCATATAAGTGTGGTTTTATTTCTGGGCTCTCTATTCAGTTCCATTGGTCTGTGTGTCTCTTTTTGTTCTCATACCAAACTTTTAATTATTATGGCTTTATAGTATAGCTTGAAGTTTGGAAGTGTGGAAGTGTGATACCTCCTTTCTCCTTTATTTTCATCAGTAGGGCTTTGGCTATTTGTGGTTTTTTTTGTTGTGTGTGTGGTTCCATAAGAATTTCATCAGTATTTGTTCTATTTCTTTGAAAAATGTCATTGAGTTGTTCTTTTTTTTAGCTTTTTTGTTTTGTTTTTTTTTTTTAAGATTTATTTATGTATTTATACAAGCACTGGGTACAGTCAGAAGCGCGGGAGGGTGAGAGAATTCACCAGAGCCAGAGCAGGGAGCAGAGCAGGCAGAAGGACCGAAGTACACTGCTGAGGGGAGCAATGTGGGACCCTCCTCCAGTGGCCTGGGAGCAGCCAGGGATCGAACTGGCGCTTTAGAGGCTGCAGGCAGCTTCGCAACCCAGCGCTCAACCGCTGTGCCACCGGGGAGGCCCTGCTAAGCATATATTATCTGGACTTACAATGCACATTTTAAAAGACTGGTCAAATCACATTAAAAAGAACTTCATTTGCTTGGTTCAAATTGATTACCTCTGCGCCACCAGGGAGGCCCTCTCCTTTTCTCTTTTGGCTCTTTTTATTTCTGTATCTTCGAAAGTACTGATCTGTTCTTCCACTTCATGGATTCTCTTTTCATTACTTTTCCCAGAGTTCTTTATCTCCTCTAGTAATCTTTTAATCTCCTGCATTTCTTTTCTTTCCTTTCTTGAGGTCTCAACTTCATTCTTCAGTTCAGTGATTATTTGTCTGAAATTATTTTTTTCTTTTCACTTTCTTTCTGTTTTTTAATCATGATCATTAATTCTCTATTTGACAGGCCCTGAGAAGTTCTTCCATGTCAATGTTGAGCTCTGGTGACTGTTTTTCTTTTTGTGGTGTGTCCTCCTTCTTTGGGCTTGCTTGGTTATTTATATTTTTCCTTCTTCCTACTGTTTGCTTTCTAATTAGTTCTATGCATTGGGACGTTGTGCCACTGGTGGTGGCGTGCATCTCTTTGGGGTGCTCCTTCAGTAGTGTTGGAAACTGTTTACCAGACCCAGTCCAGCACTGTATGCCAATACTCCACCAGGGCGTTGATGCTGTGTTGCTGGGCACTGCCCCTTACAGTGTCCTCCCTCTGTATTTACTCAGTTCCAACAGAGAATCAGCTAGTTGGTGATTTTGTGATTTTGTTCTGATCACTAGGTGGCGCCAGAGACCTGTATTTGCTGACCTGTGCTTTCTCCCAGTGGTTCTCTGAGGAACGGGAGAGGTGGGTGGGGAGAAGCACCTCAGCACAGGGGCTCTTGTGCAAGTTGAGTGATGTGTCTGCCCCGTGTTCACCCAGTGCTGTGCCCACACCTGTATGGATCCCGTGCCCTGAATTCTGCGCTCTGGTCTCAGTTCCAGGGTTATCAGATCCAAAATGCTGGCTGTCACCCTGTGCAGTGCCCACTGTTATGGCCCGTCCCACGCCCCAGATCCTGTGTCTGGCTCTCAGTTCCAGAAAGGGGTCGTGCTCCACGCCTTGTTTCCCTTCTTACCCCTGTTTGTGTGGCCCACCCTCTCTCAGCCTGAGGGTGGTTTTGGGATCCCTGGCTTCCATCAGAAGTTGGTGATTTTTGTTCTAGTCACTAGGTGGAGCCAGAGATCTTTCCTAGTATCCTTCCTGAACTGTGCCCCTTCCCCTCCCCGCCAATAGAGTGGGGGTGGCTTGGAGCACCTCAGTGGCGTGAGGGAGCTGTGTGTGCCCTGTGCCCTACGTTCGTGGGGATCCCAGACCCTGAATTTCGTGCCCCAGTTCTCAGTTCCGAAGTCCTCAGATCCGCGATGCGGGCAGTAGCCCAGTTCAGTGCCCGCAGAAATGGCACCTTTTGCACCCCACTCCCTTGCGGTGAGCCCGGTTTTTGATGACCCAGTGAGGGTCATTCACCTCAGCGAGGGTTCCTGCGCGTCTCCCCAGCAGCTTAGGTTGCAGGCGCGGGGACCGGGGCAGCTGTGATCAAGCTATTTTCTTTTGGTAACTTCGCCCCCATTTCACGTTGTCTGTCCCCTAGTCTTGTCCATATTTTCTACTTCTAGGATGCTTTGATCTCTTTCATCATTGATCTTAATAACGTTGAAATAGTTTCACTTCCTTTTGAGGGGGAATGTATGTTACACATGCAGAAATAGGTAGAAGAAGAAAATAGGTACACACCAAAACATTAATTGTGATCATCTAAACAGGCTGGCATTATGGATTATTTTATTTTGCTCTTAGCTTATTGAGATATATTCCATAATGCATTTGTAGATTTATTGTTTGAAAAATCTATGTCCTTATTCCATATCAGTTGAAATGGTTTGAGATTTGTCTTTATATATTTCCTTTCAATACTCAGTTGTAGAGCCTCTCTGGTGGTACAGCGGGTTGAGTGCAGCACTGTGAAGCTGTCAGCGGCCTCTGCAGCGCAGATTCGATCCCTAGCCAGGGAGAAACCCACATGGCACTGCGGACCTCTCCGGCCTCACCCGCTGCTCCCCTCAGCCTGTTCTGCTCCCCACTCTGTCTCTAGTGAATTCTCTCACCCTCTTGCACCTCTGACCTGTACCCCAGTTCTTGTATAAATAAATAAATCTTAAAAAAAAAAAAAAAGAATACTCAGTTGTAGAATTACTAAAGGCTAACGATAAAGTTAAGGACAAGAAAAGCAACTAGTCTGGATACTTAGAGAATTGGAAAAGTTTAGGTTAAATAACCAAGAATTGATAGCTAGAAAATAGAATTTCATTTTCCTTTTATATATCAATCAATTTGTTTGCCTTTCATTTTCAAAAGCATGCAGATCCCATTTCCAAAGAAGAATTGCTTCCAGTTACTTTGTAACTTCAAGGTCCCAGCAGCTGGCTTTAAAAGCACAGTAAAAAGTGGGCTCATTTTACAGTCTATTTCCAATGATGTGTACCAAAATCTGGCAGTAGAAGACTGGATCCATGACCACATGAATCTAGAAGGCAAGCCAGTTCTTTTCCTTTGGAGAAATTCTCCCTGTGTTGTGATTGGTAGGCATCAGAATCCTTGGCAGGAATGCAACCTGAATCTGATGAGAGAAGAAGGTATAAAACTGGCTCGAAGAAGAAGTGGAGGAGGAACTGTTTACCATGATATGGGTAATATCAATTTGACTTTTTTTTCAACCAAAAAAAAGTATGATCGGATGGAAAATCTGAAATTAGTTGTAAGAGCTCTGAATGCTGTCCAGCCTCAGCTGGATGTGCAGCCTACCAAAAGGTTTGACCTTTTACTTGATGGACAGTTTAAAATCTCAGGAACAGCTTCTAAGATTGGCCGGACTACTGCTTATCACCATTGCACTTTATTATGTAGTACTGACAGGACCTTCTTGTCATCTTTGCTGAAGAGCCCTTACCAAGGGATCAGAAGCAATGCCACTGCCAGCATACCTTCCTTAGTAAAAAATCTTTTGGATAAGGATCCCACTCTGACCTGTGAAGTAATGATGAATGCTATTGCTGTAGAATATGCTGCTTATCATCACATTGATAAACATATTCACCTAATAAACCCAACAGATGAGACACTGTTTCCTGGAATAAATAACAAAGCCAAAGAACTACAAACCTGGGAGTGGATATATGGCAAAACTCCAAAGTTTACTATAAACACTTCTTTTAATGTATTATATGAACAGTCATATTTGGAAATTAAAGTATATATAGACATAAAGAATGGAAGAATTGAAATTTGTAAAATTGAAGCACCTGATCATTGGTTGCCATTAGAAATATGTGACAAATTAAACTCAAGTTTTATTGGCAGTAAGTTTTGCCCAGTTGAAACTACATTACATAAAACAAGTCTAGAAGATGATGAACTGCACAGTAAATGGAATATTCTCTGTGAAAAAATTAAGGGGATAATGTGATTTCAAGTAAATTTCTTAATATTTGTTTAAATGAGAAAATTTAAATTTCAAATGTACACTGTATGTCTCCTAAAATAAAAAAGGCCTATTCTCTTATAGTAACTTCTCAATTTAAAGTTGTCTGTCCCCTAGTCTTGTCCATATTTTTCTACTTCTAGGATACTTTGATCTCTTTCATCATTGATTTTAATATTTCAAATACATTTATAGTTTAACTCATTACCATTGGAGATTTATACCATTATCAAACATTCTGACCTCAAAAAATTAGTTTTTCTTTCTCCTAGGGAATATAACCCAGGGTTCTTGCCACCTTGTATTCCTTAAACTCTAAAATTCTCCCTTTTAATTATAATTTCTTATCCTTCACCCTCTCCCATTAAGTCAAACCTATTGTACTTTTCTGAGCCCTTAACTCTTTCCTAATCTCATTTCATCTCAACTCCAGCATGAAATTTTTCAAAATGTCCTTTATTACCTGCATTTGCTTCTCTCTTGACCTACAATGGTCACTTTTATTATTCCAACAATTGATTTTTCTACTAATACACAGATGGTTCTTTTAAAAAGTAAGTAATAAAGCACTGTATGTTAGTTTGCTAGGGCTGCAATAACAAAATGCCAGTTAGAGTAGCTTTAACAATAGAATGGTCTTCCTTTCCCCACTGATCTGAAAGACACATTTACTGTGTATTAATTACTCATACACACATTCACTTTGTCGCTCTCAGACATGTTCTCAGACTCCTCATTCATGTTCCAGATGCCTTATTCTAGCCCATTAATTTATTTTCCATTCTTATGCCCAAACATTTTTTTAATCATGTACTTTGTCTTTATAGTTGGTCAAGCAAATGTCCTAGTGGTAGTCTCTTTTTGTCACTTTAATAAATTGATTTGGAGAACTGACATCTTAAGTCTTCCCATTCAGCAATATAACTTGTCTTTCCAGTTATTCTAGTTTTAAACTTTTATATCCTTCCATAAAGATTTTTTTTCCACATAGATCTTGCACATTTCTTGATATATTTAATAGGTAAACTTGTATTTGTAGCCTTCCAGTGTTCTAATTGGATTTAGGGATAGAACTTCCAAAATCTAGAATTATGACTAGTATGTCTAGACTCTCTTCCTTAAGTATCATTATCTCTTAGGGAGAATTCCTATGAGAGTTGGATAAGTTAATTTCATAGGGTTGTGGGTTGCTTATACTTGATAGTGCATACACTCTAGAAATCAGAGTTGTTTCAATAGGAAACAAAGAAGGTCTAACACATGTGCTCATCTGAATGAAAAGCCACTCTACATTCATGTGATGATGGGTAACCGGAAAAATAAGCTAGGATACTTTGCAGAAGGTAACTTTGATCAAGTCCAATACTCATCTACATGTTCTAATGAGGCCTTAATATCCTCATAATAAAAGCCTGGCAAAACTGCTTTTCAGTATTTTCAGGTTCAGCATTTTCTACACCCAAATCTGAAAATATCAGAGAAAAACATCAGGAACTTTTCTGGAAGCCCTTCTTGGTCTTTTGTGACAACTCAATCATGTTGCTTATAAAGGCAAAATATAAAGCTGGTGTCCAAGTCTACCCAGACCCACTCTATCCTACCTTATTTCCATGATTTCCACCTGGCTTTGGTCTTACTCACCATTTAATCTTTTTTTATATAGAGGCATGTTTTTTATTTCTTTATTTGTTTGTTTTGTTTATACATGCACTGGGTACAGTCAGAAGCGCGGGAGGGTGAGAGAATTCACCAGAGCCAGAGCGGGGAGCAGAGCAGGCAGAAGGACCAAAGTACACTGCTGAGGGGAGCAGCGGGCAGCAGGAGAGGTCTGCGCGCCATGTGGGACCCTCTGGTGGCCGGGGAGCAGCCGGGAATCGAACTGGCACCGCAGAGGCCGAGGGCAGCTTTGCAACCCAGCGCTCAACCGCTGCGCCACCGGGGAGGCCCTCACCATTTAATCTTGATTTAATCTTCAGTTTTCTGCAGGAGATGATGTTCATTTGTGCATTCTCCCAATACCAGTATTTCTGTTTCCCTCTGTGGACTCTGGCTTAACTTATTATCTCTAAACCTTCTGGACTGCCCATTGCCTGTATGTATATCCCCTCTCCCAGTCTATCTCCATGCAACTTAGTCTTTGTCCCTGACCAGTCACCTGGAATCTGAATGAATGAGCTCACCTAGAACAGTTGATTCTAAAATGCAAAGTTTTACAAATGTGCCAGTCAAGTTTGAATGAGCTCCAGAGTGCATCTGGATAGCTAAATGGGCTGATTTGCTCTTACAGAGTTAGGTAAGCTGCATTAGAAGAGCTCTGAATATTGGTGAATGTTTGCCAAAGACATTTAATTGTGACAAAATTAGCATTATACTTTTTAACTGGTTATTAAACCCACATGTCCATCTGTCTCTTAAGAGTACGCTAATCCATGAATTTTCCACCTGGACTTATTCCCAGGGTTAAGATTAATATTCAATTCATCTTCATAATAAGTGCCCAATATGTACTGAATCACTCTCCAATAGCCAAATAAAAGCTGGTATACTGTTTAACTGTATGATTTGAAAACAAAACTGTAAATCTACTGAATAATATATTTACAAAATATTTAGGATTGCTTACACAGCTGAATGATTCATAAATTAGTAAAAATGTGTAAGTTTATTGTTAAGTGCATACATTACAGGAATGGTCAGTCAAAAGAAAAAAAATCCAACAATCACATAAAAAAAGAAATATATATTGTAAATTAGGCTACTGCCCATCATATTTTTTTTGTGTGCTTGTTATGAAAAATGTCCACTGTTGTTTCACGACATGGTCTTAAATCATAATCAAAATATCCAAGGGAAAAAGAACCCTAAGAAAAGAAAAAAAATTTTTTTAAAAAGGACTAAATCCATAATAAAATGAAACAAGAGTTCTACACACTCATCATAAAACTAAATCCTACCTTTGGTCTCTTAAAATAATCGAGTCCCCTTCCAATCTTGATAATCCATCCATTGTTGAACCTATTGAAATGTATATATAGCATTGCATTCCAGACACTTAAGTCAGACAATTATTAAAGCTGCAGTGTACAAAGTGTCAGCAAAAGTTTCTCCTAACAAAGAAAATCCCATCCTCATGGCATGCATTGAACCAAACCTGGAATTATTCATTGGCTGTGTCCATAAAGAATCAGAAAGTCCTACAAAAGCCAGCAGTCGATTTGACTAACCAATAGAGTTTGACAGTAAATTAAACTTACTCTTGAATTTCAGCTTGCTGAAATAAACGTTCTTGTTCTGTTAACAAATGGCTTCAATGTATACTCTGGTGGGCTATGGTGGTTTTAGGGGTTCCCCTACCAGAGTTGGATAATGTAAGTAGAAAGAGCTCTGGGATTCTGACCTTTAATTCAATCACAGCAGCTGCATTTTCATCTGTTTTGCATTTATCTTGTGATTAAGTTTTCATTAAGACAAAGGATGACATCACTGTAAACACTGCTAAGCAAAGGGACCTATCAGTAAAATAACTTTATACTGTTTCCTTATAGCATACTGTGATATCTACTAGAATAATAAACTGTAAGTAAAGCCACATTAAATATTATTTCACTAGAAAAGAAAATTACTCACATACACTATATAAATAGTTGAATAGACAGAAAAGCATTTTTTATATGACACAGAACATGTAAATTTTATGCCATCAGGAAATGTGAAACTCACATATAGAACAAAATTAAGACTTTCCCTCTCAAAAGTGAAGACACTAAAATTGAGTTTTATTTAAAATGTAATATTTAAATTGAATATATACAATCTATACAATTAATAAGAGAAATAAAAAGTATATTTCCACTGCTTAAAAATTAAACTATTACTATATACTAACCTAATTTCTCGGTCATGTATTGAAGAAGAGTAGTCTAGTTGCAATGACACTCCATGATTCCTGAGTGACCCTTTTATTTCATTCAGGGCACTAACTTGCTCTGTTCTCCCATTGTCCTGTGAATATGAAAAATGTAATTTTCTGCCTCAGTTTTAAGTGAAGTGGTTCTATATTGTAGGATGAACAGCCATTTCAGGGAGAGCACAGCTGAGTTTCATTTCTGTGCAGAAACCACAGAGACCACAGAAGCTAGGGAAAACAGAACTTAATGAAACTTAGACCAACAATAACAGATCAACCAATCAGAATAGACCTGGTGCCAAGACTGGAAAGTCCTACTTCCTGACAATATGGTATGAAGAAAGCATTGTGCCCTGCAAGGGGGCCCTTCTCTCAACCTGATGGGACTGCTGCTTCAGTGTACCAGGCAGAGTTGGGCCCTAGCTTAAGCTAGCAATAAAGCCTTTTTGCGTTTGCATCTCTGGCTCCGTGTGGTGTTTGGGAACCCCGGACGGAGTTGAGGCGCCAATTCCTAACAATACTAGTTTCAATGTCTGTTGTCTCAAAGAAGCAACCAAATATGAAGTAGTTTAAAAGTAATTGTTTTCATCAAAATAACTTTTTTCTTAGTCTCTATGAAAACCATTATGGTGGTTACCAGAGTTGGGGGAGGAAGAAGGATCCAGAGGGGGTCAGATGATAGTGTACTGGCACTGGAGCCTTGGTGGAAGGCAAGTGACACATAAGCACATGTTGATGTGAGACAGTGTACTACCCAAATTATATAGTTTTGCAAGTGAGTGGCAAATCAACAAAATTTTGTTTTAAAAAATTGCTTTTTTCCAATGTAAACACAATTCTATCTCCTAAAATATACTTTAGTGATGCTGTTCAGTTATTCAAAAGGACTGCCTTTTTTTTTTTTTTTTTGGTGGGACCCTTGCCCGGTGGCTGGGATCAAACCGGTGCTGCAGAGGCTGCAGGCAGCCTCGCAACCCAGCACTCAACCGCTGAGCCACCAGGGGAGGCCCAGAAGGACTGCCTTTTTTCTCCTAGAAATTTGATTTATTTAGAAGCATTCCTCTCTGAGTCAAAAGTCCAGATACAGATGCCCACTATTATGCAATGACCCTCCAGGAGGCCAATGAATCAAAACAGATTTAATAATTGTTAATGAAAAGACAAACTAGTCAATAGTGCAGAGTGCATAAGCAGCTCCTAGAACATCCAAAAGACTAAACTGACAAACTACTTGAATAAGACAGGTTAGCAGAGAGACCCAGTGCAAGAAACAACATACTAAAATCAATAGCATGTTTTCTCAAGATGGTTTATGCATACTGTTAGATAATAAGTTCATTCCCAAGGAAGTAGCTCTAGCTGGAGCATTATTGCAGGTTTTCCTTGATTGGTCTATAAATTGTAATTGAATAAAGTAATGAAACAAAGATTAAGTGTTTTCAGATACCTACTTGATCCAGAGAGGTGAGAAGATGAATAGTTTTTACTTTACATGGACTCTTAATAAGCATCTCACAAAATCGAAGAAAATTATACAGCTGCAAGATATTGGATAGGTGATTACTAACTTGTACATTTTAAATGATAACATTGTATTATATTTTAGTACATTTTACCTACCTGCTGAGTATTTCTAATGTAAGGATCTTCTACCCAAACTTCAGTAATTGTTTCATTAAGGTATTCTTGGAAAAGTGACTCATAACTGAAACCTGTTGCATTCTCTTCTATTTTAATTTGCTTATGATATTTTCCATCTACAAAACATAAACTTAATAGTAAAACCAGTGATAACATTTTCTTTTTATATATACTGTATTTATATATAGTGATTAATCAGGATCAGATAAAAGTTAATTTTTATTTTTTTATTCCTCCACTCAGCAAATATTGACTGAATGTCTACTATATACAAGGCACATTGCAAGATGCTACAAATACAGAGGTAAATAAGCAAACCACTCCATGAGTAAGTTCTGTCTTCACAGAGGCCAGGCAAGGGGGAACATTCAGACATTTCTTAGAACTTATTCATGAGCTAAATCCTATAGACCAAGAAGTTTATTCAAGAGAGAATTGTATATAAATATGTCAGATAAATCTGTCACCATGAGTAGAAACACACGTTTTAACTCAGTGCTGGCTGGTCCTTCTCTTCAAATACAATTTTTTTTTCATGTTCTGCAATTTATAGTGGATATTAAACATATAAATGTAGTATAGTATGTTAGAAATTGTTCTTAGAACTTGTAGAGATTAGTTTAAGTGGAAATTTATTACACTTAATAACCCAAGCCAAAGACAAGGATGTCACAAGATCAGTGGAATTGTGCCAGTTTTTGTTAATTCCTAATGAATACTTACTAAATAAGCTATCAAAGATGTTTAAGGTTTTTAGAAAATATGATTCCTTCTAGAAAACTTAAATAAGGGACCAGGAAAATGAATAACTATAAGAAAGTGAAAATCAAAAGCAACAAAAAACTATGAACCAGAGACACTTTTTGGGGGGCGGGGGCGGGAGGGGAGGGATTGGGGTCAGAATGGGGGGGCTGCAATTGTATGGGGAATATAAAAATAAAATTTATTATTTAAAAAAAAAAAAAAAGAAAATATGATTCCTAATTTCCATGGTGGTTGTACTTTCAAACTTTATTTAAAAACCAGTAGTTTGTACTCTGTTACTAATATTCCCACAGATATGTTAGCAACTACCCATCAATTTTTAAGCCAAGCTAGTCACCTATTAATTTAATCCAATGTAATCAAATACTGTATTTCATTCATGTTTTATTTTATTATTTTAAAGATTTACTTTTATTTATGCATACAAGAACTAGGGTGTAGGCCAGAGGTTCAGGGCGAGAGCAGGGGGTGGTGAGAGGATTCACCAGAGACAGAGTGGGGAGTAGAACAGGCAGATCTACTGAAATATACTGCTGAGGGGAGCAGCAGGCAAGACAGGAGAGGTCTGCTGTGCCTTGTGGGTCAGCTCCCTGGCTGGGGATCGAACTCATGCTGCAGTGGATGCCAATAGCTTGATAGGGCTGACTTTAACCTCTGTGCCACCAGGGAGGCCCTCATTAATGTTTTAGAAGGAAATCTCATTGTAGATTTTAATTTTGGGTAAAGGAAACACAATTATTCCCACTCAACAGAGGAACTCAGCAGGGTTAGCTATGGTATGGGCTGGTACAGAATACCAGAGGGAAGTGAGGAGAGGGCTATAGTAAGGGTAGTGAGGATGAACAGCTAAGGGCTAGAGTCACTGGTTTTCTGAGGACAGCAGTTCCTTTAGCTAAAGAAAGCAGCAGGTGTATGCTCTTCAGGCAAAGATGGCAAAGGCCATTTATAGACATATTTGTAAACTGGACACTCATGAGTAGGGAACTAATAAATAGGGAGTGATATCTACTGTACCTCTAATCATTATAAACATTTAACTCCTGAACAAAATCCCAAAGTCCCAAGAGTTTCTTTACTACTGTAATATTTTGGTCATTTTATAAAGGGAAATACAAAAAGAATATTGGATTTACATTCTATATTCCTCTATAGTATTATTTAAACTCAAGTCCACTAATAAACTTCATGATGATCTGTAAATTCCTTAAAATGGAATGCAAAATTCTGCAGTACATATAGCTTATATCAGATTCTCAAGAAGCTTAAATAGCTTATGTATAAGAGAACAGAAATACACAGCAAATTGATAAAGACCCAGGAATAAGTGATCCAGACCACACAGAGCTCCAAATGCAGAGCCAGAAAAAATGGGATGAAAAGGACTATATCACAAAGTTTATGGATACATTCTCTAAAAGAGCTTCTTTACCTTCTTTTTCTTGATCCAAATATTGCTTTATGTTTTCTGCTCTATCCATATAGTCAGTAATTTTTTTCCTGAGATTACATTTCTTTTTATCATCTTTGGTTCCTACAAATTAAAAAAAATAATTTCATTTTCAAAGCAATATTTCTATTCAGGACAGGTAGTTCCAGTTTTACAAGTTTTTTTTTTTTTAAACAAATATTCTATCTTTTAGCATGGTTAGCCTCATTCTAAAATACACAAATATATTCCACATACAAGTGATAACATCTGGTATTTATCTTTATCTTTCTGACTTATCTCACTTAGTATAATCCCTTCCAGCTCCATCCATGTTTTGATTCCTGAGTAGTATTTCATTGTGTGTCTATACCACGTCTGCTTGATCCACTCATTTTTTTTTAAAGATTTATTTATTTATTTACACAAGAATCGGGGTACAGGCAAGATGCGCGGGAGGGTGAGAGGATTCACCAGAGACAGAGCAGAGAACAGAACAGGCAGACTGACGAAATACACTGGATGGAGCTGGAAGGGATTATACTAAGTGAGATAAGTCAGAAAGATAAAGATAAATACCAGATGTTATCACTTGTATGTGGAATATAAAGAAACCAAATAAAGGGTCAGATAAAGCGAAACTCAAAAACTAACCCTTGAAAGCTGACTACTTTCTGAGAGGGAGAGGGAAGGGAGTGGCCAGCACAAAGTGGACACAGAGTGGAATGGATGGTGATGGTGGTGATAAGACTATGTGCACTTTGGTCTGGGAGCCCAATGGTATTACAACACCCGAAGAGGGGAATCTATACTTCCAAAATACAAACAACTGTGTGAAACAATGTGACCTCAATAAAATTTTTTGAACAAAACTGCTGTTAGTCAAGATCATACAAGTGCACTACAAGCCCCAACCTACCTTCCTCTTTAGACATAAACAGAACAAAGCTGAATCACTTATTTGGTAAAACAGCAAAGCCACAATTAAAGCACTTTTAACTGAATTTCTAAATTCTGAAATTCTATTGTACTTATGCCTCCAAAACCCCAAAGACCCCACCTTTCTACTCTAAATGAACTTTAACTGTTTAAATAGTCACTACACTTGTCTATATCTCTCTCCTGGCACTTATTCACTGTATTAATAGTTATTTGCACTTGTTCTTAACCTGTTAAGTTCATGTCACCATTTCTATAAGCTCTATGGGATCCGTGAAGCACAATCACATCCAACACCTGTGAGTCTCCTGCTTCAGATTTCTAGAACTGCAATAACTTGAGCAATATTCCACTGACCGACCGCCACCTTTCTTTTGGGGGAGCCAGGATACCAATCAGAAAAGCCTTGCTTTCCAATTGTGACTCTACCATCCCCTAGTAGCAAAACTGGTAAGCAAACTACTTTTCTAGCTGTAAAAATGAGGTTAATATCTCTTACCTCAAGGGCAATTCTAAAGATGACGAGATAATGCTTTTAATGTGCTCTGCACAGTACGTAGCTCTCTGCAACCTTAAGATGGCTATTCTTATCACTATCATCGCCCAAGACAGAGTTTATTGTTCTGAAAAAAGCACTGGAACCTTGAAGAGGGCTTTCTACACTCTTAGGTTAAGAAGGCTTCGGAGTAGACGTCAACGCTGTGAGCTCCAAGGGATGGAGGGCAGGAGTTGGTATCAACCAATTTAACACAAAACTACTGGATATAGACTATGTGTCCGGTATTTTGCTGGGTATCAAGGGTTACTTGGGTAATGCCCAACACAGAATAACCAAGTAACAGAAAATCTCACTGTCCCCGCCCACAATCCGAGGCTTTTCTCACACATCGAATTACACCCTTTTAATAAAAAGCTTTTTTCTTCTACCACTGCGTGATTTTACTTTTGCTGGATTTAAAAATCGTTAGTAATGCCATTTTTACTTCAATGTATTTCCCCACATGTAAAACTGAATCATGACATTTCCTCCCCAAGTACTTCAGACTGCATCTCTAAAAGGTAAGGATATTTTTCGGGGAAAAAGGCTGTCTAAAAATATTAATAAATTTAATGTTACCCAGCCCATTTTCAAGTAGATCCAAAAATGTCTTTTGCAATCAAAGTCTTTCCCATCAACGTTTTTATATCACATTTGGTTTCGTCTCAAAAATCTAGAGCAGTACCCCCTCTTGACACCAAATTATTAGTGATATAAAGGAAACCAGTCCGTTTGTCCTGTAGAAGAACCCACCTTCTGTATTTGACTTCTGTTGTCTGACTGCTTACTTTTGGTAAGAACTGTTTTTAATTTTTCCTCTCCGCCCCGGACACTGCGCGAGCCGGCTGTCTTCCATGCCTCATCGCTCACCTTTGAGAACCTGCAGGAGCATATCAATCCCCTCTTGGTAACACACTAGAGCCTGCTGGTACCGAAACTCCGAGTCTAGTTCCACGGCCCGCTTTAGTACAGCGATTGCAGCTGCGCATTCGGGATCTAATTTCGGCCCCGCCGCAGCCATGATTCCCGAAGCTTCCCACAAACCCTTACACAGCTGGGCAACACTTCCGCGCTTTTGCGGAGTCGTCACGTGACGCCAACGCGCCTGCGCTCTCACGTTATCGCCTTTGCTGGGACTCAGCCGGAACTAATTTTCCTCGTTTCTCTGCTCTCTTGTACTTTGACGGAAGGATTTGAGTGTGGCCCTCGATGGTCCCAGTACTCAACTTCCCCTCGGTGCGTAAGTTCATCCTCAACAACGTTTAGCGGTCGTTGGTGAGTGGGACATGCGTGGCTGAAGGTATTGCGTTTTTCACCAGAAGTACGTATTTGGAGCCCTATGCAGATTTGCATTGATTTTTCCCTATTGGATCCTGCGACTCCGGGTCACACCACTTAACTAGGCCTGCGTCCCCGTGTAGACCCACTGGTTCCGGAAGAGATACTGACCGGCCGATCCGGGGCTCTAGTTTAAGAGATTCTCCGATGCGCCCTTTGTTGAGCTCTGGGCTTAAGGGCTGAGGCTGTACAGAGAGTTCAAGTTCGTTTTTAACGTTTTCTGTGCTTCTGCTTTATTCTTGACTTTGGCTTCTCTTTGGGGATCTTTTTAAGCTGATATTTATTGTTAATGAGGGTTTACAGAATTGCTTAATTTTTAAATTGCTGCATTTAAGAAGGCAATCTTTCTGGGTTTGGCAGTTGAAATACTTGACATTTAAAAAAATCTGATTTTGCAATAGGGTTCCGCTGGGCATCTACCCAGAGCTGTCTTGTTCTGTGTATTTTTTGCCAAGAGGCGCTGTTACTTGTTAAACGTTAGGGGTTCAGAGAAGAGACATTTTGCTTTCAGAGATCTTGATTTATTGAAAGGGAAATTCTGTGTTCTGCATTTTCAGTAGTCCCCCACCCCCCTTTATCATTAAATACACATCTTGTTTGTTTAGGAAAGAAAATAGATATTTAAAGGAAATATTACATACATCATCCATGTAAAAAAGACAACAAAAAGCTATCAGACATGGTTGGAGGGGGGAGAAAATTGTCTTTGTGCCTTGCCACCTGTGGCTGTGTTAATATTTTGCTGATAGCCTTCCATAGTTTTTCTCTGTGTACACACATTCACAATCATTCTTTAAAATGGAAATGGGAGCATACTTCTCATATGATGCATCTATTTTCCTATTTTTGCTTCTGTTCAAGAGAAAAGTTATTGTACAGTAGAAGACAGTATAATTGCTATAAAGGTGTGCCTAATTGTTCTTAAGAATAACTTTTATTACAATTTGTAACTTTAAACTGTCGCACCTTCTGAAGTCTGTTCATTAAACTTCATTCATTCAGCAAAAATTGAATACCTACTATGTGGCAGGTGCTGCTTTAGGTAGATGCTTGGTACACATCTGTGAATAGCCAGACCATAAACAAAAATGTAAAAAGTCCTTGTCCTTGTGGAAGAATATTTTCTTGGATGGAGACAGACATTGAACAACAAACTTAATAATTAAATGTTTTAGGATGACAAGTGCTGTGAAAAGGAAACCAAGTAGAGTAGAAATGATTAGGAGTACTGTAGTGTGGGTAAAAATGTTAAATAATGTGATCTGAGTGAACCTCACTGATAAAATGAGATTTGAAACGTAAGGAATTGAACTCTGTGAATATGGGAAACATTCTAGAGGAAGAAGAGCTGGTTCAATGGAGCGTGCCTGCCTTGCAAGTTCAGGACCAGCAAGGGAGGCCAGTGTGTATACTAGAGAGTAATTGGAAGCCCTAGAAGTGGAGGTTAAGAGCTGGCTACCACTTTTACTGAAATGAAAGGATAGTTGAAGTTTTAAATTTTTAAAAAAGTAAAATTCTAATTTCAGAAGTTTTAGACATCAAAAAGTTGTAAAGATAGTACAGAGTACTTGTATATCCAACACCCAGTTTCCCCTTTTAATATCTTACCAAAATTTGTTTTCATTGATGAACTAATAGTAATACATTGTTTACATTCATACTTCATTCACATTTTCTTGTTTTTTACCTTATGTTCTTTTACTATTCCAGAAACCCATCCAAGATACCATATTACATTTAGTGATCATGTCTCATTAGACCTCTCACACTCTTGATTACGACAGTTTTTCAAACTGCCCTTGTTTTAGCACACTTATATTATTCAAACTTTAGCCATTGGGAGCTCTTTCAGCTAGCTCCTGTGTCCCTTTGTCATGCCCCCATCATTTTGACTTTTTAAGTAGTTACTTTCTAGGCCTGAAAGATGCCCCATTTGTTCCTGCTGCAGCCCTAAAATCACCTACTTCTCCAAGAAGCCATGGTTTCTTTTGTGGAAAATGATGGTAGAGGGCTTCCCTGGTGGCGCACGGGTAACCTGTGAAGCTGTCTGCAACCTCTGAAGCACAAGTTCAATCCCTGGCCAGGGAGCAACCCACATGGCACAGCAGACTTCTCCTGACTTGCCCGCTGCCCCCCTCAGCAGTGTCCTTTGGTCAGTCTGCCTGTTCCGTTCCCCACTCTGTGTTTGGTGAATCTTCTCCCCCCGCCCCCCACTGCACCTCTGACCTGTACCCTAGCTTTTGTATGCATAAATAATTAAATCTTTTTTAAAAAAAAAAAAGAAAGAAAATGCTAGTAGAAAGTATTATTAGTTATTAGAAACTAGAATGCTTTTAGAAAGGATGCAGGAATACTCATTACTACTGGGGTGCCATTTCTTTTTGGTCTTCTCAACAGAGCTAACTCATGTATACATACATATCTGTAATTATTTCTAAATCCATTAGCATCTATACTGAGCTAAATTTGAGTTCCAACTCTAATCAAGTACCATTGGATCACACAGATCATTTTAGCCTTCTCTTATTTATGTGTAACCTCCCACTCAAACAGTGAGAAACCTGGCTCACTGGAAGGTTTGCGCACAGTTAATATGATCTGATTTAGTACCGGATGGTCTCACTCATAGCAGGAACTTAGAAAACCTAAATAAACCAGAGACACACTGGGGGGGGGGGTGAGGAAGGACTAGAGTCAAAATAAGGGGGGAGGTGCAATTGTATGGGGAATATAACCAAAATGAAAATGCATACATTGTGCAAAGATGAAAAAAGATGTAAAAATTATATAAAATAAAATATTAAATAAGAAAAATAAATATGTAACAAAAAATAAACTTTCAGTTATGCTGTAAAAAAAATATGATCTGATTTAGGATTTAATGAGATAATTTGCTATGGAGAAAAGACCTTAGAGAAATTAGATGGAATAAGGAAGACCAGTTAGGAGGCTTTGGTTGAAATCTTTAATTAGAGAAAGATTCAACACAATGTGAAGCTAAATGAGTTTGATTAGTATATAATACCACATTTGGGAGGAAGAACCATGGTAAAGAAAATAATTTAGTATTACCTGTTTGAGTGACAATATGAAGGATTAAGCATCTCTTCTAAGGAAGCCTTAATAGAAAATGAATAACTAGCCAAACAGTGGATAGTTTGAAGTAAAAATTATAATGTTCTATTGTAATATTTAGGTTTGAAGTCTGAATGACAGTTATGAAATTCTTATGTACTTCTGAATTCTGAGTTGAGTGGACCATCTAATCCATTAATTAATTCATACATTCATCAACATACACTGGGTGCCTACTGTTCATCAGATAGTGTTTTATCTGCTGGGAGCAGAAGATGAACAAGACCTAATTCTTGTTTTCAGAGGATTTATTCGTTAACTCTTCTGAGATAATTTATTTTTGAAAGGTTGGTTTAATTGCTGAGGATTCTTCTGATATCTGGCTGTTTTTATAGTACATCTTGATCCCTGACTCCATTGCTTCGTCCACATCACAAGAAGGACTGACAGAGCTTCAATGAGCCAGACTCTGGCAAACACTGAAATATAGCACTTATTTGATATTGTATGGTAGGGTACTTTTATTTGCCATAATTTAATAATAGTAAAAGCTACCATTTATTGAGGACTTCTTATGCCAGGTACTGTTTTAAAAGATATTTATAGACTAACTCGTTTCAAAGATAGATTTTATTTTCTTACTATTCTTGGGGAGAAAACCCAAGCAAAATAAGTGATCTATCCAAAACATACATCCAGTTCTTAAACCTAATCTCAGTAGGTTAAACCTAATCTTTAGTAGGTTATAATTGTTTTGTGTCTAATTAAACAGGACTTTTTTTAGGTTATGGAAGCGATGCATGTTTGTTAAGAATAGTTTCAAAATACAAATAAACCAAAAAAGAGTTCTGATTTTCTTTTTAACGAAAAGGTGTTATAATTTGGTGAAAATACGCTGGATTGGAAATTAGAAAAACTGGATTCTACATCATGTGTTCTCTTGATACCTGGATGCCTTTGGATAAAGATTGATCTTTGTGGAATTCATTTTCCTCATACTTAAAGAAACGGTTGTCATCTCTAATTATTGGAGTTGGTTTTTTTTTTAGTCTCTTCCAGCTCTTTACTTTTCTGTGATCCTTTAACTTTTCTGTGATCCATTCTTTACCTGTCCTCATTGTTGAAGATTTTTAAAATGATAATAACCCCTAGTTCCCACTTTTGGGGAGTCTGCCAAGGCTAACTCATTTGTTAAAAATGGAATGTGGTTAATGTACAATTACTACATAAGGTTTTGCTGAACTCAGTGGAACATGTATTGTAACTTAATTCTTGCCTTTTTTTATATTAAAATAACCAAGATTTTATTGTTAAACTTCGATCAAGTTTACAATTTATTTACTTTATTAGTACTACAGAAGGAGGAACCTGTTCACTTCCAAGACGTGTTTAACTCAGGAACCTATTTTCTGCTTCTACAGCCTCGAAAGAGCACTGTCATCACACATGGCAGGGATTTTGCGCTCAGTATTCCAGAGACCCCCAGGCAGACTACAGGTAAGGGTTTATTTTTACAAGGTTTTTTTTTTTTTTTCCTACTCCTTAAGAACTTTTTCTTTCTCTTTTCTAATTAACAAAGCATATGGGCAAGTTAAGTTCTTTGTAAGTTCTTTTTTTAGGTATCAACTTTTTTTTACTGTTAGGGTTAATTTTGTTTACTTATGTTTTATCCCTGAAGATTTGGAATCACAAAAGACCTTTTTAAAGTTTTAGGTTTTTTTCTCTTCAATTATGAAAAGAGTACATCTTCAAACATAGAAAAAAATTTTGAAAAGCAAAAGGAAGAGACACATTCACCCAAAGACCATTAATGTTAGTATTTTCATGTTTCCTTTCAGTCTTTCTTTTAGAAATTACAGTGTTACTGCCTAATCTATGCATAACTGCTAGAGTCCAGAAATAGATCTTCTGATGTCAGGTGTTTTACATGCACTATCCTAACCTCAGATTAATCCTGGGTGGTCATTATTTCCTTTTTCTAGGAAACTGACTTAATTTATCTCACAACTCAGTTTGTCCCACAACTGATAGGCATGGAACCCAGCATTCCAAAGTCTCTGTTTTTCCTTTGCCTCCCCACATTGCCTTCTTATTCTCTAGCTGTTTATACCATCTCTCCATTACAGGGAGGTCATGATTATTGCCCATCAAGAGAGGATTTTACTGATTTGAAGGGATGACAATGAGTCCTTTCCCTTCAGCAGCCTGAGAGAACCAAGACTGGAGGGCTGTAGAAAGGGAACAACAAGAGCTTAGGACCTAGGAGTGTTGGCATTGTTGGAACTAGAGAGAAAATTAGAAATTTATTTTGCCATTCTATTTTTAACTTTGTATTGTGGAAGGTGATTTATTACATGTTGTCTAGAGCAGTAGTTGGCAACTATAGCCTGTAGGCCAAATTTAACTTATTGCCTGTTTTTGTAAATAAAGTTTTATTTACAAAACCTAGCCACACCCATTTGTTTGCATATTGTCAGTGGCTATTATTAACCTACAGTGGCAAAGTTGAGACTTAGCAATAGAAAACCACATAGCCCCTAAGTTGAAAATATTTACAGTCTATTCCTTTACTGAAAAATACTGCCAATCCCTGATCTACTAGTCTATATTTATGTGCCTTTTGATTTATAATATGTTAGTGGTAAGATGAGATGTATTCATTTGGATAGGGAGTTGAGATAAACATTTAATAATTATAGGTGAGGTAAGACCAGACTTTTGTCATCTAAAAATTATTGGGTATGGATTTCTGCACTAGACAGAGTTCTAAAAAATAAATGTTTTGTATCATATTTTAGACTGTGACAAAAGGTGTGGAGTCTCTGATTTGTACAGATTGGATTCGTCACAAATTTACCAAGTCAAGAATTCCAGATAAAGTAAGAACAAAAGTTTTTTGATTTTTAATGTTACTATTTTTTAAAGAACATATTATGTTCTTGAATATGAACATAATATGTTCTTTAAAAAATACCTATATTTTTAATATGGAAAACTTTGTGGATGTAGATAATTACTAGATATTGCAATCAATGTATGTTATTAATGATTACTAAAAGTAAAATGTGCTATTGTTCTTTGAAGTAGTTTTATCATCAGAGCCTGTTTATTTCTGCATATGCTTTTTTGTTAATATTTTATTTTTGTATTGTATTGACAATTGTCCTGAGAAAAGTATAGGTTTTTGTCCTTATGTTCCATCTATATGGCTTTTTGTATTCACTTTTTATATCGACTATTGGCTATTTTGGGTCTTTTGAGTTTTCTTGCTAGATTTATGTGTGTGTTTCACTGAGAAAATACTGGCTAAATTTTCCATTAATCTTTGGGGTATTTTTGGTCCTTATATGAATAGATTCTTTTTCATAGGACTGTCTTACGTTTAAAGAAAGATTAAACAGAAAGTACAGAGTTCCTACATACTCCCACCCCACATACAGTTACCCTGTTTTTCATACCTTGCATCACTGTACACTTGTTGTAATTGATGAGCCACTACTGACACATTATTATTAACAAAAGTCCATGGTTTAGTCAGGGTTCACTCTTTGTATTGTACATTCTGTAGGTCTTGACAAATACATAATGTCCTATATCCACCATTACAGTATCATACAGAATAGTTTCACTGCTCTAAAACCTTTGTGCTTTGCCTATTCGCCCCTCCTTCTTATCCTCCAACCTCTAGCAATTACTGATCTTTGTGTAGTTTTGCCTTTTTCACAGTGTCATGTAGTTGGCTTTGTACTGTATGTAGCCTTTTCAGACTGACTTTGTTCTTTAAACAATGAGTTAGGATTCCTTGATATTTTATCATGACTTGATAGCAGTTTTTTATGTTTACACAAAACAATGATAAATCATGAATCGTAACTAGGTTTTCATACCTGGAAAATATGGCTAGAACTAAAGAAAAACGAATTTAAAAAGTCAAGTTGATTTCCATTAAAGTGACTGGGGACTCAGAAATCAAACAATGTTCTGAAAATCACAAATCTGTGTTTTTATATCTGAGTTTTGTGACTATGTGGCCCATTTTTTTTTATTGTGGAATAGTATTTCAATATACAGATATTTGTTTATTCATTCACCTACTGAAGGGCATCTTACTTGCTTCCAGTTTTTGATGACAATAACTAAAACTGCCATAAACGTGTGTAGGTTTTTGTGTGGACATAAGTTGTCAACTCAATGAGATAAATATCCAGAAACACAATTACTAGATTGTATGGTAAAACTGTTTAGTTCTGTAAAACCTGCGACTTTTTGTCCCTTGTAGGACACAATACAATTTTTTGTATTGTATTAGTGATGTTAGCCGATGCCTCCACCCTCTACCTGTTTTCCCAGATTAGCGATCTCTGAGTGAATGTCAACCTACCTTTTCCTTCACCATACAAACCAATGTATTTTACTGTCCAAAGTCCCCAGATCAATCCCTTTTATATTACAGCTATGTACTTCAGGCTCTTAAACCATGACTATAAGTGCTTCTGACTGAGTTTCCTCCAGTTCATTTGATTCTTATGTAAATATCTCTTTTTCAAATATGGTCATGTTGCTTTAAACCTTTAGTAGTTCAGTATGTCTTCTGGAAATTTTTAAAAGTTCAGCACAGGTAAGCTTAATTTAACCTTATCCCCCGCATTGTTTTTCATGCTTTCTTTCTACTTTTAGCCACATAGAACCATTTACTTTTCCCAAATATTTCATGTACGTCACACTGTTTCTTATATCATCTTTCCTTTTCTTTGATATGCCTGCCCCACTCCCTGCTTTCTACCATTCATCTCACCCCACATCTTTTCAAAATGCCTAGAAAAAAACGAACAAGCAAAATGAACCCTATAACATCCAACTATGTCAACATCTTTGCATCCTTTTCTGTGTTTTTAAAGATGTGAATCATGAGCCTCCCTGGTGGCACAAGGGTTAAAACCACAGAGCTAACACTCTATCACCAGCCACTGCAGCATGAGTTCAGTCCCTGGCCAGGGAGCTAACCCACATAGCATAGCAGACCTCTCCTGACTCTCTCGCTGCTCCCCTCAGCAGTGTATTTCAGTCAATCTGCCTGTTCTATTCCCCAATCTGTCTCTGGTGAATCCTCTCACCCCATTTCCCATACACACCTCCGGCCTGTACCCCAGTTCTTATATGCATAAATAAAATATATCTCTAAAAAAAGATAATATATTATGGTCATCTTCCAATATTAGTACCTGTCAAGATAGTAAACCTTATTTGTTTTAATGACAACATTATCTCTAGTGGGCTAAAATTTACCTAGCTATATCATATATTACTTAGTTTTATCATTACTACTTTTATTTCAAATATGTACACATAATTTATTTAGTTTCTTTTCAGGAACATGGACTGTCTTTAAAGTTTTCAGTATTACAAATAGTATTACAATATACATTCTTTTTTTGGTAGACTTTATGTGCTTAGGAAGTTTTTCTATGGGATGGTTTCCTAGAGCCATCTTAATCTTGGAGAAACAGGGCCTCCCTTCTGGTGCAAGGGGTTGAGATGCAACCTGTGGGGCTGTCTGCAGCCGCTGTGGCACTAGTTGGATCCCTAGCCAAGGAGCTACCCATGTGCACAGCAGACCTCTCCTGTCTCGCCCGCTGCTCCCCTCAGCAGTGTATTTCAGTTGACCTGCCTGTTCTGCTCCCCACTCTGTCTCTGGTGAATCCTCTCACCCCCGACACCTCTGGCCTGTACCCCAGTTCTGGTATGCATAAATGATTAAATCTTTAAAAAATAAATAAATCTTGGAGAAACAGTTCAAACGTCAGCTCTATGGACCTGTTTCTCATCCTTCATTGTCAGTCATCTGTCTGTACTTTCATAGGTGGTTTGTATGTACTTTTTTAGAATTCTCCTGGTTATTATTGTAACTTATATTGTTTGTTATGTTCGTTCCATCACTTGAATGGGGTGGATGGATGCAGGTCAATACCCAGTTCACATGGGCTTAATATATTCTCTTGGCCTGTGAATGTTTTAGCATCATCTGGGTGTTCTTGCTTTGCTCTTAAAAATACAAAAAAAAAACCAAAATATATTTTGCCTGCATGATATTTTTCTTGGAGTATAAAATTCTTAGAGTCCCTCTAGTTGATAATCAGACTGGTAGAAATACTCAATTCACAAATGAAGATTATAGAAAAATTAGTGATGAGATTATTCTATAGTTGTTTTTTAAGGGGAAAAAAAGAGGTATATAGAAACTGTAAGTTGCAATTTTACCATTTCCATTTCTTCCTTTCTAGGTGTTTCAGCCTTCACCTGAAGATCATGAAAAATATGGTGGGGATCCACAGCACCCTCATAAACTGCATGTTGTTACCAGGATAAAAAGTACAAAAAGACGTCCATATTGGGAAAAAGATGTAATAAAGATGCTCGGATTAGAAAAAGTATGCAGCCATTTTAGTCATCTTTAGTGTTGTATCAGTTTGTTTTAAATCTGACACTTTTAAAGTTTAAGGTGTGTTTTTATTGTTTCTTTTGTTTGAATATATTATTTAGTATAATTTATGTGAAAGTTTGATTTAAGCAGCTTAACATTTTACTGGAACATGGAACCATCTGCTTTTGAAATTACCCATAACATTGTTTCCTTTGTTTATAGGCACATACTCCTCAAGTGCATAAGAATATCCCTTCAGTGAATGCAAAACTGAAAGTAGTTAAGCATTTAATAAGGTTTGTTGTTTGTTATTTCAGCACTTTTAAAAAATGTGCTATCTGGCATAATTCTAAACTCATTTTATTATATTGCAGGATCAAGCCCCTCAAGTTGCCACAAGGACTTCCAGCAGAGGAGGACATGGCTAACACATGCCTCAAGAGCACTGGGGAATTAGTAGTGGGCTGGCAACTAAACCCTCTGGGCCACAAGGCAATCAAGTCCTAATGCCACAGCAGTTTCAGATTAAAAACTGCAAATCATTTTAATTTAAATATATGAAAAAGTGTTTTCATTAAAATATATTTTAAATAGTAGTCATTTTCACTGACTAACCATGATGTGATTCTTCCTTACTATCTAGGTTTTAGTGCTATTTTTTGGTTTAATTCTTACCCTCCCTCCCTAATAGTTTCACTGCAACATGGATAAGAATGACATTGTTTGAACATCTAGAGTCAGAGGTCATCTTCACAATCATCAACAACTTTTTTAAAATAATATTTTCTCATTTAATTGAGTTGAACAAATTCTATGAGTGAATTCTTTAAGTGAATACGGTATTATGTGTTGGAAAAATCCAAAACTCATTAGAACATGGTTCCTGTCCTTTAGGAGCTTATAGTCTGTTTTGCTAGATAACAGATTCAGCCAAAGTCATTGAACACTGGACGGACACACACACACACACACACACACACACACACACACACACACACACACACACACACACACACACACACGGGCTAGGTTTCATTGTATCCTTAGATTTTATACCAAAAAATAGTATCTGCTTTCTAATTAGCAATCTAATTTGGGCTAAATCATCCAATATTTGTCTTTCCCCTGTTTCATTTCTCTTAACCCTTTCCAATCCCATCTATATCGTAAAAAAATCTCATCTCTTTTAATAGCTGGGTAGTATTCTATCAGTATATATACCACAGCTTTTTAATCTATTCATCTGCTCTTGGACACTTAGGTTGTTTCCATAACTTGGCTATTGTGAATAGTGCTGCAATGACTGTAGGAGTAATTTTATATCTTTAGTGTTTTTGCATCTTTCAGCTAGATACCTAGCAGTAGAATTTCTGAACATTAAGGTAGATCTATTTTTAACATTTTGAGAAACCTCCACACTGGTTTTTGCAGGGGCTGGACCAATGTACATTCCCAAAGTTTCCCTTTTCGCCATACCCTTACCAACATTTGTTTGTGGTCTTTATGATAAGGACCATTCTCACAAGTATGAGGTGGTACCTCATTGTGGTTTTGATTTGCATTTTCCTGTGAGAAGTAATAATGAGCATTGTTTCAAATGCCTGTTGACCATCTGTATGCCAGCACATACTTTTAAAGCACCATTGTCTTGGCCAAACCACTTTGTCTACCTGAGCATTGATATGTAAATAAGGTAGGCTTAGCAGAACACCAACAGTATAAAAATCATGGAGAGAAAGGAGATTTCACAATAGAAAATTAAGGCATTCAACCCTATACAATATAAGAAATATAGACCCCTATAAGCTGGGAAGAGGGATTACCATACATAGATCAGAACTAGGTGAAGCCCCAGGGACATATCTGCAAAAGTTAGAATCAGGGCCTCCCCAGTGGCACAGCGGTTGAGCACTGGGTTGCGAAGCTGCCCGCGGCCTCTACGGCGCGGGTTCTATCCCTGGCTGCTCCCCTGCCACCGGAGGGAGGGTCCCACATGGCACGCAGACCTCTCCTGCCGCCCGCTGCTCCCCTCAGCAGTGTACTTCGGTCCTTCTGCCTGCTCTGCTTCCTGCTCTGGCTCTGGTGAGTTCTCTCACCCTCCCGCGCTTCTCACTGTACCCAGTGCATGTATAAACAAAACAAACAAATAAATAAAACACGCCTCTTAAAAAAAAAAAAAGAATCAGATGGTTTAGACTATTCGGTTTCTATTTTTTTTTTTTTTCACTTTTATTGCTCCAGATGCTCACACTGAGGGTATCCTCAAGTTATCCTCCAACAAAATTCCCCTACTTTGAGTAAATCCTCCACAGGCATGTCCATTTATGAGAACTACCCCACTCTTCTCGAATCAAATATATTAGAGTGTACAGTGACCAAGTGTACAGTGACCTATAGAGGCAATATGGACCAACGTTATATATGGGAAAATGAAGTCCTGAGCAATGCAAAAATTGTCCCAAGGTACCAGAAAATCAGGCAAAATCAACCAGCTTTTGTGTAGGTGACTATAATATATTCCCTTTTTTTAAAAAAAGATTGATTTATTTATGCATAGAAGAGCTGGAGTGTAGGCCAGAATATATTCTTAAAACACTCAATGTCCTCTGAGAGATTGATGGCCAACAAAGAAAAAGGATGAGAATTATAATCATGAAAATTCCAGTCAGGGAAATAAGTAAAATAGTTTTTAATTTTGTTATTGCTTTGAGAACTATTATAAAATAGGCAGCTGTCCTGCCCACCTCCTACCACACACTTATGAAGCATGTGTTTTGCATCTATGCAGGTGTGTCTCTTTTTCCTTCTCCCTTTCCTAATAAACCTCTCCTTTTAAAATGTAAAAAAAGAAAGAAAACTTTATAAAATAATCTTTCTTCCCCTTAGTGAGTGTTTAGTTTTTAGATACCAAAAAGAAGTGATATTTCAGATATTAGGATATAAGATTAGAGCAATTTATTATTCCTGAGGGGTCCGCGCACACACAATATATAAAGAAGATTGAAAATAACTGAAAGAATATTGAATGTGGCCACATTTGAGTCTAACATCTTTAAATCATTCTCAATAAACCCCTGGGAATCAACTGGAACAGTAGACTGGGATGGTTTTATTATATCTAATTAGTAATTCTAGTAGATTATGGAGAAGCTTGGCAAGGATTCATGAGGTTTAATGAGGCTTGTGTACTACTTTCAGATTGTTTTTACTATGTTGCTGGGTCATGGAGAAAAGCAAGCAATGTTGGAAGTATATTCCCAAGGTCCAGGTATATCTAACCCTTATGAAGCAGATTATGCTGTGATGCTGTGAGTGGTCTTCCCATTTCCAGACACTTCAGGATTTTTAATTGATTTCCACCTGCCAATATCTGCATTTCTGTGTCTAAAGCCTCTTCTTGGAACTGCAGAAAAGTGTGCTACCTACTTGCATGATCACATGAGCAAAGAATTAACATATCACCTGCTCCCAGCAGGTAATAATTCTTAAAAATTGTCCTTTGGGTAGAGTAATTATGAAGTGTGTGTTTTGCACCTTTCCTTAATATTTGCTTGTAGGATTGAGCTCCAGTGACTATAGTGGTAGCCAGTGTGACACATATTATTGGCAGTCTTTCTTTTCCTGTTTCACCGAGTCACTTCATAGTGGAATTCCCTGTACTTCTCAAACTACCTGCATTTAAGTCCTTGTCTCAGGTTATGCTTCTTGAGGACCGAACTAAGACATATTGAGTATGGATTCTCCTACAGAACATCTCTTCGTATGCCAGTCATAAAGAGAATAATAGAGGAATAGGTTCAGAGTATAAACCGATGTGTACTACTTGTTTTTCAAATACTTGGAAATTGCTCATCGGGATGTACCCTATTGCTTCAGTAGAGACGCTGAATGGGCTGGATAGATGAGTACATGCTGGGGAAAAGTTCAGGAGAAATCACTTTGGAGCACAGTGATGATCTAAAGCAGGTAATGGATTGCCTGCATGAAAGGATGATAACCAAAATATTTAATAACTGGTACCAGATGGCCCTCAACCAATCATAAAAGATGTTGGCTTGTATGCTGCAAGGACTGCCACAGCAGCTGACTGGCCATTTGCTCTGCCCAGTGAAACACAGGGGTACCAGTTCTGCTTGGATCAAGTCTGCAGGCTGTCTTGGGAGGTCATTGGCAAAAGAATGGTTTCTCTGGTTTCCTCCAAGGGGACTCAGAGATAGGTAAGTATGATTTTGATTCCTTTTCAGCAAGAGACAAGTGATGGGTAGAAACATTTTCCAAACATCTCCAAAGGGAGCTAAAGGCCTGGCCAGAACTGCCTGTGTTGGCAGACACTTTGAAAGTTGTACACTCCAACATATTATGTTTTCTCTCCTGAGTTTAGGATAAAAGCCAAATTACACCATGTTTTCTTCTAGAAAATTATCTCTTTTCCTTTGTGGGTAGTCAGGGCAACAAAAAGACAAAAGTAGTTAAGAGCTAGATATGTATATGACCTAAATTTAGTCTATAAGAGTCTCCCTCCTGGGACTATGAACATGAAGCAGAGTGAGGAAAGGGTGAGTACTAATTCATGTGCTGTGGGGATGCTATGAAGAGGATGGTCTGGTTCCTGCTACTCGGAAACCAGTTTCTCTTCATATTCTTGACCTTTTCCTTGGTTCTGTAAACCTTCTAACAGCCTTCCAGTAATTTCCTCTTATTGCTTAAATTCTCCATAATTAGTCATTTTTGCGGGCAACCAGAGCCATAACTAACTCAGGTCCTATATTCTTATCTTCAGCTATGTTTTGTGGGGAGTGGGCCCTTTGAGAGAGTGTCTATTATTATCTACTGAAAATATAAGAAAATAACTCAGTCCCTGGGTTTTCATCAAACACGAGGAAGAAGGTGGGGAGTTGGTGTGGGCCTGAGGGAAGTAATGCATTTGATCACTACAGAAAGATCAGCTAAAATTCCATCCCTAGCTTCTCCATTTTCCTACGAGTTGGATGACTTAAGAATCAGGCATTTCTCACTTGCAAAGTCCTAGTGAGAAAGGACAAAGGTTCAGGTCAGGCTCTCTTCTTATTAGCAATTCTGTTAAGACAGGGAATAGGAAGGCATTAAATCATGGGCTAAAATGAGGCCCCAAGAACTTGTAGATTTCACTCACCATGATATTAATAATTTCTACAAAATAGTTATGCATATGCCTATGCACATTTCATGGAACCATATTGTGAATTGTGTGGATTTTCTTTTCTTGTTTATGGTTATTTGCATTTAAAAATTAAGGAATGGATTTTCTGTCAAATGAAACCATTCTTTTGCCAGGGTTGGACACAACATATCAAACCCTCAAAAAAGAGGCCATTTGAGCACCTGCTAACTTGACCCACCCACAGAATCTAGAAGCTATGTCTTTTATAGAATTTAGCTCGGGCGAGAAGATCATTGACCAAATCATTGTCTATGTCCATGGGGGTGACAATTGCATCAGCTCCTGACTTATAGGCCGAGAGACCACCTGAAATAAAACACAGTGGTTCAAATTGAAATATTAATTTTCAGCACAAATAAGATATGAACATTCCTAGGATGTCAGTTCTCCAGGCAAATCTTCTAAAGCTGGCAGTCCCAGATTCTTTTCCCCTGAAGAGCCCCCACCCCCCGCTCCCCCGCTAAAAGGAACTGCTATTCCAACAATCACTGAGGAAATACCAGATTGCTTTCCTTCTCTCTCTTTTTTTAAACACCTTTTTCTTGTTGCAAAAGTCAGATTTCCTTCTTATGCAGCCAGACCTAAAAAAACTAGATCGCCAATAAATTTTCAATCTGCGAATACTTGTAACATTCTCTCAGTCATTCTATAATTCACTTTTATTCATTCATCCAATAAGTGTTTTTAAGCATCTGCTATGTTCTAGGGTGAGTATGACACTGAATGCAGGGTGCACAAAGGTACCCAAAACATAGTCATTTCTTCATAGTCATTTCTTCATATGCACAATTATGCATATTTTGTACTCTAGAATTTTATTTCAATAGTTATTTTGTGTTTAATATAAATGTGCTCTGCTCTAATGTCTAGAGAAAAAGACCTCTGGTCTGGATCCCTGCCTTCAAGGACCTTGAAATAGAAAGTAAAAATGGTTCTAAATTAAGGCCCTTTAAAGTGTCAAGAAAGAAGTATAGGAGGGTCTGTAGAAGGTAGGCCTAATAAGAATTGGTCTGATTGGTTGTGGAGAGAGAAGGAACCAGAGAGCCTAAGAAAACAGGCAGAGATCTCCACTTGAACGTATCATGGTACCTAAAGCCCTGATGTCTCTGAGAATGCTGAAAGAGGGAAGAAAAGATGTTCAAACAATTCAGTTTCTTGTATATAGAAGAAAACCTATCAGAGGAAGGCAAACATATTCTTTTAAACTATTGTATTAATTCTCAAGGCATCACTCAATGGATCAATAGCCAGTGAGAGATACAATAGGAACCCCAACATTTGGCAGATGGGAAAATAGAAGTTGGGGGAGGAAGCAGCTCAGTAGTTCAGAGAGCACAAGCCCAACCTATCGACCACCCCCCTACCCCACCCCACCCCCATAACTCTGCTAAGATGAATGCTCCCAGGGAGGCGAAGGTACATCAGGCTTTACTGCTCATTTAAACAACGTCTTACAAATATGGCCTACCTTTGAGGTGCTGAGCCACATTCCACGTGGGGAATTTTTTCTGGATTGTCTTAATTCTGTCTGTGAGAATCCCAACAGCCTGCAAAAGGTGTTCTTTGCTGTCCCAGGCACCAACAGGTTTGTAAATTTGTTTATCAAGCTAGAAAATTCGGAAATGTTAGCACGTGGATGAAGCAATACATTTTTTCTGCTGTTCCCTATATCTCCTCCTTGTGTTCAGGCTCACAAACACTGGTCTCAGCCCCTTTATCCTCACAAAATCAATTCTGTAGTACTTTCTTTGACAGAGAGTCAAAGAAACAAAGCATGATTTGGGAGAAGTAGAGGTGGCATGGTTTTAGTTAAATACTTTAATATATATTATATATGTCATGTAATATATATATACACATACCTATGTACATAAATTTAAAAATTGCTTCAAAATAAATAATTAGCAGCCAAAGTCTAGACATTTACAACCAAAAACAAAATTTATTTCTAACTGGGAAGCCTAAAAGTCTTAATTTCTTCAGGCAATTTAAAGTAGGGTCTTGAAGCAAATAGCTACAAAATTGGGATCCCTTTTCACCAATTTGCCAAGAGAACAAGTTGGTTCAAGTAGGACTTAATTATAGTGTTTTAATACACATGCATGAAAATAAGATGCCTACAATAATTCCCTTTATAAAATGTTCTTAATTTAAGTACATTGTGTATTATTTCTGCAAATTGTATTTATAAACTCATAAAAACTTTTTTGGAAAATATCTAATCGCTGATAAATCTTGAATGAAATATTGAAGATATATTACAAATATCCCAGTACTATGCTGGATAGGTGTTTTGAAGCCTGGAAGTACTGAATATGGATTTCTAGTTTGGTTGAGCTCTGCAAGGATGAAGTGGGAATGATTGAAAGCTTCTAAGTACCTGCATCAAGCCAAACTTATGTCCCCTGTGGTCCCAGCCATCTTTAAGGATGGTTCCACCATGGCTTTCTCTGGAGATGATGGCTGCAATGAGAGCTGGGTCCACACAATACCTCAGTCCAACTTCTTTGATCAGCGTCTGGTAAGGCCTTATGGCCCTCAAATCCATCTCGGCAAACATTTCAGAACCACGGATCCCTAAGACAATAGAAAGGAATCTGTTTCTCCAGGAAAAAAGAACTATTTTTCAACGATTATTACATTTTTCATAACATCTGACCCATGCTCACAACTTGGGACAACCATTCTGTGACTTTCTTTTGATCTCTGATTATATAACCCAGAAATGTCCATAACCTCTGTCAGGTGCCATATCCGCCACCTTCCTCTTTCTTTTCTTTTCTGCCATATACTAGTGTATTAGGGAGCCTTGTTGGCTAGAAGTCAGCCAACCTACGTTTGAATCTGGTTCTGGAACTCCCTAGATTCAGACCCTTGGAAGCCTCTCTATGCTAAGACTTGGTTTTCTAATCTATAAACTGGGGAGGTAGGCTAGATGTGGCCCGAGAGCTTCTTTCAGCTCTGACACTCTACTACTGGGATTCCATCATCAAGAAGACTTTGGAACAGGATAATGGAAGAGAGGAAGTACAAAAAGCAAGAGACTTGCTTAAAATGCTCATGCCATAGCATGAAGTAAACACATAACAAACAGATACAAAATGAGAACTTAATATTTATTTAAGCTATCATACCAATACGGAGAAATAAACAAAATTTAAGAGAATGTAGCAAGGGAAATGAAAAGCAACAGTTAGGTTGGTCAGGATTCTGCTTTCTAATTTTAAATTTTGATATTATTGCTATAGTAGTGATTATACCTTTTCAAAGTTAAGCTACTTCCTAAGAAAGTATCTGGGAAGCCAAATGTTTGCTTTGTTTTCCACTTACCACAGTTAATCAACCTTGTTATATCACAGGTGGCCCCAGGGGTATCCATGGTCAGGATGTCACCGTAGCAGCCATGGTACAGGCGGGGTTGCAGGAGAGGGTTCATTGAGTGAGTTAAAGGGGACAAGCCCTTGGAAGTACCTGGGGGGCAGAATGATCACTCACATGAAACCTGTGAGAAAATGTCTCTTGAGCTGCTATACCAAACAATATAAAGTAAAGGCCAAACCATAGACTTAGTCCTCTCTAAGATCTTTCCCCAAACTCCATGAGATTGACTCATCAGACAAAACAAAAGATTCCCCCTTTCCCCCTTCACTCCCATCTTTAAAAATTTGTAGCACAGCACTTAATTCTAAAGGTTATGCAAAGCATTATGAAAATCAGTACTTATGGGTCTAAAAACATTTCTAAAATCTTGATCAAAAATAAAATTGCCACTAGATTTTTAAACAGGAAACTTGAGAGAAATTTTAAAACACTGCTGACTCAAATACTTCTGGGGCAGTAAACATTTGAAATAACAATTACCTTGGTTTAGGAGAATAAGAAAGAAGGGTAACATCAACAAAATATTTGTTTCATAACATGCTGCTGTGACATTTATTTTCTATCCAATAAAGCTGGAGATAAAATTTATTATCATAAAATTCAAATTAAATCTATTCTTATTTTTAACTTTGTAATTTTGAAGTGACTTTCTAACTCTATTTATTACAAGAGATAAAGAGCTTTTCTTAAAGTTGGAAAGTTTGTTATAATTGATCTGTGGATTGTTGCCTTGCACCTGAAGGCTACAAATATTTGTTGTAAGAAACTGTATTTGTTAAAATGTTTGATGAAAAACACTATGTTGTTTCACGTCATGATGTAAGTAATGTTTTTAAATGACAGATGGATTTTACCAATTCTACATGCTTGCCAGATTTTTGCCTCAAGATCTAGTTCTGATTAACTTGATGGTACAAAGATCATTTAGCATTGGGAAGACAGCTGATGGAATTATTCATTATAAGTATTTATTTTACAAGGTAAACAAAGCAAGATTTAAAGATTAGGTTTTTTTAAAGTACATAATTAAAAAAAAAAAACTCAAACACAAAAATAACGTATAAGCAGCTGTCTCCCATCTACAAACAGGCAAAAAACGGGATTACAAATGGACCAATAAGCGAAACAGTGAAACTATCAAATAAACTCAATATATTAAGAAAGCCTATGCAGATAATAAAAGGAGAAGGAACCTGCAAAACTGTTAAGCTTGACTAAGCGGTAGGATTTCAATGTGATGCTAAGAGCTGAAACCATCACATCTGATCTCTATGGCTCTTAGTGTAGTATCCTGTGCCTATAAAATGTGTAGGAAATACACGTAAAAACTGAGTGAATGAATGGACATAGACATATGTCCCATGACATAGAGCATATGTAAAATTGAGGTGTGGGGTTTGGAAGTGAAGGTTCATTACCTTTACTACCACCCTGGTCTAAACCACCATTATTGCTCATCTGGATATTATAATTGTCTCCTAACTGAACTCCCTGCTCCATTCTTGCAATCTAGTCTTCATTCAGCAGCCAGAGTGATCCTGTGGACACATGCCTGGGCCCATAGCCATATAATCTCTTAATCTTCCAATGGATTCCTCATCCATCATTCAGAGAAATGACCAAGTCCATATTTTAGGTTCTGAGAGCTACCTGACCTGGTCCTCTGCTCATTTTACAATTCTCTTATCTCCCATAACATTCTTCTTGTTTATCCTTCCATGGCACATTCCTGTCTTAAGGTCTGTGTATTTGTAGTTCCCTTAGCGTGGAATTCTGTTCCTCCAGATATCTACATGGTTTGCTGCCTCTGTATGATTTGCCTTTAGGTCTCTATTTAAATACCATCTTATCAGCAAAAGATTTAAATAGACAGTTCATGGACAAAAATTATGCTTAAACATGTAAAAAATGCTCAACCACGTTCAAAAAAAGAGAATGCCATATGAAAACACCACTGACATTATTTTTTACTTATTTAATTGGCAAGAATCCAAAAGTTTGGCCATATACTGTACTCTTCAGGTAAGGTTATAATTAAACAGGCGTTCTCTATACTGTTTTGGAAGGGGATTTTTGCAATAGTTTGTTGGTTCAGAATTATTGACAATAGCAAAGGACTGGAAATAATGCAGATGTCAAAATATAAGAACTGATTGAACAAGTTCCTATAATGTTATCTGAAGTTTCAGAACAGTATTTAGAGAATCATACTCTTTGTTTAAGAAGAAGAGAGAATATGACTGTGTGTATATGTACTTTGTTTATATTTTCAAAAGAAACACTGTAAGTATGGACCAAAACTAATAAAAGGTGCTAATTGTGGGGGAAGATAAGAATTGGGTACAGAAGACAGGGATAGAGGCTAGATTTCTCTAAATCCTTTTTCTAGCATTTATTTCACATCATATAAATATTGCCATAATTTAAAAAATTTAATCAAATAGAATAAAAGACACCTTAAAAAACACAAATAAACCTAATTCTATATCAAATTGAAAACAACACATGAAAGAGAAATATTTCAAGTGATTTTAAAACATGTCAATGTAAATATGGAATACTCACTTGTGCAATACATCCCATGAACATAAAGAATCACAAAAAAATCTTAAACTATATTCATAGTATCATTGTTGATTGGTAATACTGTCATAGTTATTTTGAAAGTATTATGAATAAATAAATGATTGTGTTAATGTCATTAGGATTTTTAGTGTTAGACAGCAGAAGCACAAATATAAAATCAATATATATTCCTTGTAGTCTTAAATATAAACATGAAATACCTGTACAACTCTATAATGATTTTTCTCTTTAAAAAAAAATACTTTTCAGGGGCTTCCCTGGTGGCTCAGGGGTTAAAGTCAGCTCTATCAAGCTATTGCCATTCACTGCAGCATGAGTTTGATTCCCTGGCTGGCCAAGGAGCTGACCTACATTGTGCAGCAGACCTCTACTGTCTCGCCTGCTGCTGCCTTCAGCGGTGTCTTTTGGTGGATCTGCTTGTTTTGCTCCCCACTCCCCACTCTGCACTCTGTCTCTGGTGAATCCTCTCACCACCCGCAACCCTACCCTGGCACCTCTGGCCTATACCCCAGCTCTTGTATGCATAAATAAATAAATCTTTTTTAAAAAAACATATTTTCCAATTTTCTCCTCTAAAAATCTCTAGAATGAGAACCCCATAGCAACAGGGCACCCCTAGCATCCAAATGCCATTTCCTGCTAAGAACAACCAGTGTGCCTCAGGACAAGAATTCAGTCCTGGTATGGGGGGCAGGAAATGTTCAAATGCCCCAGAAACTTAAAAAGGAGAAAAACCTATGGGAAACTAACCTTGGCCCAGATGACTACCTACAGCTATTTCTAAGCAGTAGTTTTAATATCAGTTAGGCTGAGACTAACACAAAACAGCTTATTATACTATCTCTCCCCCACTTTGTAACAAATAATAAAGTTTTTTCAAAAAGAGGGAATGCCATCATGTCTCATTGCTTGTCTCCCATTACCTTACATTGTTTTATTTTTTTATATCCCTCATCACTACCTGATATTTCTTCCTCCCTCCTTCTTCCATCTTTCTCTCTTTCTCTTTCTCCCCGCCCCTGTGACTAGGACTTTTTTCTACTATATCCGCCTGAGCACCTAGAATAATGTCATAGAATAGACATTCAATAAATATTTATTGAATGTATAAATGAAAGGAAGAAAGAATGAATGAGAAGGAAAGGGATTATTGAAATTATTTGGATCAATTTTTCATGTATCAACAACTTCTCTATCCTCTTGCTGGAAAGGCAGCCTTTGCTATACTCAATATATTGCCCACAGACCAAGTGATCAGGAGTACCTGCTAAAAATGCATATCTCTAGGTTCCACATACTAGGTCTATTGAACCAGAATTGTTAGGTATAAAGGCAAACAACATGCACTTTAACCAGCATTCTCAACCCACACAATCTTGAGTTTGGGAACCACAGTTCTAAGAGGTTAGAAATATGATCATGGACCTTATGCTACCTGCATTGACATCGTAAACACACAAATACTTCTTAATTATAGATACCTTTCAGTTAAACACAGCTAGTATGGTAGCTCATAATTAGTCCACTGACTACATAACTCTGTTCCCACCTGGCAATTAAAGAAGGAATAAAAATTTCAAACTGTTCTCATGTCTTTAGCAATACATATCTGCAAATTATCACTTTTCAGTGGTCTTGCTTTGCAAATTTAGAATTAAATATTTTAGAATCACTTTCCTCTCAATCATTGCTCTGTTAATAGACAACTTGAATACTGTTTATGATGGCTTTTCATTTTTTTAGGCCCACGTTTTGCTCTTTTCTTACTTAAAGTCCCTTATCATCACTCCAGTCCACCACTCTAACCTCAGAATTCCCCTCTTCTATTCAAGTCAGGCTAATCTTCTTACCGTATCCCAAAACTTTCATGCATTTCTACCTCTGTGTCTTTGTACAGTCATCCTTTCCAACCAGCAGGCTCTCCACTTCTCTTATTGAAACACCAAGCATTTTCAATCATCAGGTCTCCCCTAAAAGTCTTTCTGGTCTCATCATCCTGACTAGATGTGAACGCTTCCTCCTTAACTCCCAGATTAGTGTGTATGTATATATGTGTGTGTGTGTGTGTGTGTGTGTGTGTGTGTTCATTCAAATTTTATTTACTTCCTGACATAGATAATTTTCTCTTCATATGTCTTCCTTCCCAAGACAATTCCACAAATTCTCACTGACATCACCTTCACTTGCTTAGCAAGCTAAATGCACTCTTAATATGGAAATAAACAATAGATTAAGGGTCAGGCTGGTCAGGAGAGCCCACTGCTCCACTGCATGTAACCATTGCTCTTTCAGATTCATGACCTGCAACAATGTTGAAAGTCAGTGGGTGACTTACCAATGAGGGAAATAAGTCCCCAAAATAGGGCAGAGGATATCATGGTGGTGGTTCTTATCCTGCAGCACCTGTTAGGATTTGAAAGAGAAACTGGTTAATTTTAAAACTTGAAACTTTTCTGAAGGAAACTTGCTTTGATTTAAAAATAAGTTCAGAGTCATTTTCAATTCAATATCCTATTTCCTGTTCAAGATATTATTCACAAATGCAAATGGCCAACAAGCATATGAAAAAAATGCTCAACATCACTTGTAATCAGGGAAATGCAAATCAAAACTACCACGAGATACCATCTTACACCAGTGAGAATGGCACATATTAAAAAAAACTAGCAACAACAAATGTTGGCGAGGGTGTGGAGAAAAAAGAACTCTTCTGCACTATTGGTGGGAGTGCAAACTGGTCCAACCACGATGGAGAGCTGTATGGAGATTTCTGGACCTACTAAACGTAGAGCTGCCATATGATCCAGCAATTCCACTCCTAGGTATTTACCCAAAGGACACAGAAACATCAATTCCAAAGAGCACCTGCACCCCTATGTTTATAGCAACACTATTTACAATAGCTAAGCTTTGGAAACAGCCCAAATGCCCCAAAATAGATGACTGGATCAAGAAGATGTACATATATACCATGGAATATTACTCAACATTCAAAAAAGATAAACACATGCAATTTGCAGCAACATGGATGGCGCTGGAAGGGATCATGCTCAGCGAAATAAGCCAGAAAGAAAAAGAAAAATACCGGATGGTCTCACTCATAGCAGGAATCTAGAAAACTTAAATAAGGGACCAGGAAAATGAATAACTATAAGAAAGTGAAAATCAAAATCAACAAAAAACTGTGAACCAGAGACACTTTTTGGGGGGTGGGGGGCGGGAGGGGAGGGATTGGGGTCAGAATGGGGGGGTTGCAATTGTATGGGGAATATAAAAATAAAATTTATTATTTAAAAAAAAAAGATTGATTGAATGATTGATTTATTATTCATTTATTTATACAAGCACTGGGTACAGACAGATGTGCGGGAGGGTGAGAGAATTCACCAGAGCCAGAGGGGAGAGCAGAGCAGGCAGACTGATGAAGTACACTGCTGTGGGGAGCAGTGGGCACGGCAGGAGAGGTCTGCCAGGGATTGAATCAGCGCTGCAGAGGCTGCGGGCAGCTTCGCAACCCAGCACTCAACCGCTGCACCACCGGGGAAGCCCTCTAACTCATTTTAATCTAATTTCATATTGACATGAGCCCATGAAATTCTTATATGTGTAACACCATCCCAAGTCACCACCCCCCACACTCACTCTTTTTGTCTCCAAGCTTTGTCATACCATAATTATATGACCTTTCTTATGCTACAGTTTCTGTAGAAAACAAGAAAGAAACCACTGAGCTCATGACTCTGTGCTCTCTTTCCTCTTCCACTCTTTCCCTAGACTTTTTCATCAACTCTGCTCTTGGTCTCATTCAGAAAGAACCTTACATGTTTTACAAGATACAAAAAGATGAGCACTAACCTGGTTGTGAACTTGCAGTGGAAATCTTCCCAATCTGTTTGAGAAGGTCTTCCCTACTCAATGGCAAGCTGTAAGTCAGGCTTGCACAAAGTAGTGGACTTTGTCCTATAACAATTTTTTGATAATTTGAGAATCCATTAGTCAGAAGGTCACTGCGGACCAGGCTTCAATCCAAGCAGATTTCAATGTGGCTCTACTGCTGCGGAGGAACTTTTAAATGCCAGCGCGTAGACTCACCTGTCTCTTCCTACCTTCATCCTAAACCACTGATAGTTGGAGGAGCTTTATATATGATTTAAAACCCTTATTTTAAACCATTGACCTCATTAGGCCTGATTATAATGGTACTGTGGACTTAGGTAGCCTTTTTAATAAAAGGATTTCAAAGCATTTATTAACCTCTATAATTAATTAGTCTAATGAACGCCCAGGTTGGACTAGAGGCATATATTTGGTGGATTGTTTCTGGGTATCTGAAATTATGCCAGGCAAACAGTTTCTAAATTTGAGAAGAAGAAACAGATAATTAGCCTAAAAAAGAGAAATAAACAGGAAATACAACTCTCATTCCTGTGCTGTTTGTTTTCCTGAAATACTGAGCCTCCTGCTCTTTGTTCCTCATTCCATTGTTTCATAATTCCATACCAATATGTCACATGATCTCACCAGGTGAACTTGGCTCCTTGCTCCCATTGTTCCTCTGACAAATAGTAGTTACTTGCTCTGGGAAATCAATACAATACCAAGGAGTAACAACATGGGTGATGGTTTCCCAAACTATTAGAGGAATTGCAGTAAAAGGATTTGGCCAAGGATGTACCTTCTGCAAGGATGAAGTATCTTTCTTCACACTATGTCCAAAAGAAGTGATGATGCACATGGTGCAGCTCCAGAAACAAGGAATGGAAAGGACAGTCTTTTTTTTTTTAATTTTTATATTCCCCATACAATTGCAACCCTGATTTTGACCCCATCCCTCCCACCCCAAGAGTGTCTCTGGTTCATAGTTGTTTCTTGATTTTGATTTTTTTCTTTCTTATAGTTATTCTTTTTCCTGGTCCATATTTAGGTTTTCTAGATTCCTGTTATGAGTGGGACCATCCGGTATTTTTCTTTTTCTTTCTGGCTTATTTCGCTGAGCATGATCCCTTCTAGCTCCATCCATGTTGCTGCAAACTGCATGTGTTTATCTTTTTTGAATGCTGAGTAATATTCCATTGTGTATATGTACCACATCTTCTTGATCCAGTCATCTATTTCTGGGAATTTGGGTTGTTTCCAAAGCTTAATTATTGTAAATTGTGCTGCTATAAACATAGGGGTACAGGGCTCTTTGGAATTAATGTTTCTGTGTCCGGAAAGGATAGTCTTGAAATGGATAAAGCACACTTCCCAGAAATGGGAAAGAGTCTGGTGTGAGTCCTTCCACAGTGTGAGAAGTGTCTGTCACTGCACATAATCTTTCCACACATCCACCAGGTGAAGAAATGTGTGAAGGATACTGAGTAGCAGATGGTGTGATCATGGCCCTGAGTCAAACAACTTTCCAGGCTACCTGGCAATGAAATAAGCCACAACTCCTAGGAGAACATGCCCTTGCAGAATTAACTCTATACTAACTCACAGCCTTCTCTTTTGTGCTTCCTGCCTTCCTGTTTGTAGACCAGACTGCCTTCTAAATGGCCTCTGGCCTTCCATTTTGGAGAAGAAGAGCAGGGATGTGCTTAGCCAATACGTGATTTCTGCCTTCACTAACAGGAAAATGATTCACAGTGGACTTGCTCTACCACCTCCATCAACACTGCAGTCAGTGTCAAGTCATTAAAAGGGATTTTTCATGGGCCCATCTATTCCAAGGTAGCTCTTAGAAACACAGGGGCTATCACTGGTGACAGTGACAATGTCACATTGATGATGTGCTCATGGCCAGCCCCCCTGAGGAGTGTTAGATCACTTATGTGGAGTTTCTAGGCTAAGTGTAATGAGAACATTTAAGAAAGGGATGTGTGAAGAAAGAATTAAAAGTTACGTAAGACATTCAATGGTGAGGCTGAAACTGTCCCTAGATTCTCATAAAAAATGAAAAAAAACTATTAAATATACTGTTGAATGGGAAGCATACGGATTCCTATTCCTGTTTTCGGAATGTGGGGTTATGAGTTCTAGGTATGCAGTCTTAATGTCCAATTTAAGTAGTTATTTTCAAATTGATGTGGGCTATAAACCTATTTTCAGATTGTGAGAATACAAATGAATATTTATTTGATACCCATTATATATGGTCCCTAAGACATTATCTCACTCTACCCTCCAACAACCTCGTAAGATAGGTATTATCCCTAATTTTAGAGATGAGAAATCTGAGACTCAGAAGAGTTAAGCAGCTTGTCAAAGATGGGATAATTAGGACCATCACCATGCACAATTAACTGCAACTTGAATACAGGTCTATGAGATTCCAAAATCCATGCTCTTCTACTATGTCCTAGGTAATAACAATGTGGAATAATGGCCCTGCCAAATAATTGTTGCAACAGATTCAAATCAATCAATTTGCACACAAAACATTGTTTGCAGTCTGAATAATTCCATCGCAGATATTTACCAGTCATTCAAGTGTTTGTAGGTGCTATTATAATTTGTATTTGTATTTTAAGTTTGTATTTTAAATACAAATTAATATGAGTCTGCTGAATCCACATTGGTTTCATTACTTTATATCTTCTCTACCAATAATCATGATGGCTAACATACATTAGACTTGTACAGTAAGCCTAGTAGAATACTAAGAAGGGGTATGGCACAAGTTTGTTGCATTCTAAGGCCTAACTCTTTTTTACTATTTATTTATTTATTTATTTATTTATTTATTTATTTTCTTACATCATTGTTAGACCTAACTCTTAACTACTGACTCAATGGATGGTTAAGTGTGGGTACTATGGTATGAAGATCTTAGTAACTTTTTAGCATTTAAAATCAATTTAGGGGGCTCCCTGGTGGCACAAGGGCTTAAGCACAGCACTATGAAACAATCTGCAGCCTTTGCAGCACGAGTTCAATCCCAGCTGGCCAGGGAGCTACCACATGGCTCAGCAGACCTCTCCTGACTCACCCGCTGCTCCCCTCAGCAATGTATTTCAGTCAGTCTGCCTGTTCTGCTCCCCACTCTGTCTCTGGTGAATCCTCTCACTCTCCACACGTCTGGCCTGTACCCAAGCTCTTGTATGCATAAATAAATATATCTTTATAAAAGATAAAACAAATTAATTTATTGAATGAGTATCCATCTCTTTCTAGAGTTGCTAAGAATGACTAGACGAGTGAGTTGTAATGATGTTGCTAGGAGCATTTTTTTTTTTATTTGTTTGTTTGTTTTGTTTATACATGCATTGGGTACAGTCAGAAGCGCGGGAGGGTGAGAGAATTCACCAGAGCCAGAGCGGGGAGCAGAGCAGGCAGAAGGACCGAAGTACACTGCTGAGGGGAGCAGCGGGCGGCAGGGGAGGTCTGCGCGCCATGTGGGACCCTCCTCTGGTGGCCGGGGA